GACCTACATATGGGCAAAATTTCAAGACATAATTTCGTCATTTGAATTTTTTGTAAATACCTTGTCATAGGCCGAAAAATCAGTAAAATGGCCATAACCTTCGAAAGAAGCAACATGGGCCCAAATCCTCTTAGGCTTTTTCTTAGCATACTGACCCCTACATATGGGCAAAATATAAGCAAAATCGGCGTGAATCACTTGGAACGGTTCCCTCGTTAGTGAAAAACGATATTTCGAATATATTATACAACTCTCGTTTCACTCATCGAAAAAAGTTACTATTCATATGATTAGTCGAAAATATCATCTAACCCATTAATAAAAGATATTAAAAAAATCTACGTTTGAACGTGTTATTTTTTCAGTGTGCATGGTTTTCGCTAGACTTAAAACGAATATTTTCAAATGTTTTAGAATCCATTTTTTTTTCTTGCAGAACTTTGCTTCTATCTGTTTATCTTACCCGTACTCTTAGAACTATATCCTTACTTCTAAAGCCTGATACCTGCATCATTGTCTCGACATCCTTATACCCATACTCTTACTTCTAAACCATTCTATTTATAGTTTTAACTCTAAAATCTTACATCTGTGTGCCTATCCTTGTATCTTAATATCTATATGCTTATCTGTATACTCTTATATTTGCACCCTTATATTTATAGTTTATCTCTATACTTCGATGCTATGTCCTTATGCCTAAGGTGCTATAGCTTTACTCCTTAGACCTATACTGTATCAGATAGATATTTTTTAAGTTATTTCTTTCTAATAATAATTCAAATTTTCTTTTCAATGAAGCCCCACATATCTGCGAAACATGTGTAGATGTTTCATTTTATCTCTATGATGAACGTCATCTATCAGTTAATTTAGGAGATTGTAAAAGAACAGCTGAGATCTATCCAAAAGTGTTTAATTAATGAGCAGAAAAACACAAATATTTTTGTTAAAGATTCATCTTACTAAAATAATCTGTATGCTTTTGTTTACGTTCAACTCAATTTTATTGTAATATTAATTCATCAATTAGTTATAAGGAACGTAAAAAAAAGAGAAATTGATACATGTTTTCAGTATACATCAGTTCGATTGTTGAAAGAACAGAAGATGAGAAATTATGTCAAGAGATAAAAAGATGACAATAAAAATGAAAGGTTATGTTTATTATCTGTATTACTTGCAAATTATATTTGAAGAGAACGAACGAAGCTATGATTGCTAAAGTGCATTATTTGTTACATGAATCTTATATATATATGAGCTGTTGTAGGGAACAAAACAACTAATATTTCTCGACGACCTACGCAAAAAAACTAATCACTGAGCAAAACTGAGTTGAGGACTGTGACGGAAATAAACAATATGAAATATTTGTTTTCAAATATAATTTATTTGAATAAACTAAACATATCATAAAAATAACACTCTAACTAGGGATCATTAGAGATTTTCTTAAAAATTAAAAAAAGACACCGTATATCGAATCGCTAAAAGAAAAAAGATTTCACCGAGTTCTTATTTTGACATAAATTTCTCTATAGGTTTTCAAACTTAGCGAAGGAATGTTTTTCAATCAGGTTAAACTCATTCTAATTCATCTGTATATGCTATTTTTTTGTCACGCAACTATTTCTTTCTTTCTTAATATTAAAATACATTCTATTAAACAGTACTAGTGAAATTTATCTCTATAACAGATCTACCGCTTCGGTAGTACCGAAGCGGTATAATTTTTCAGTCTCACGTTTCAAAATATTTGCCTAAACGGTAGTACACTTCACTTCATAAAACGGCATTTTTTCTCATTAATAAGAATGTGAATAGTTTAATTTGTCTATAACCAACTCTCGTTTCTCAATAGGAAAACATATTTTAAAAAAATGCATTTTTTTTAGTAAAATAACGCTAAAAAATCGGGTTTGAATGCATAAAGAATAAATGTGTTCAAAGCATAAAAGAAAATGCATTCGAGCGGTAATTTAAGTAGTGTTTATTGGAAATAAAAAATGTGCCACTCATAAACGCGCTTAAACAGTATTTTTAGATGACGTTTTAAACTGAAAAAATATGCCACAAAAACGATGTGATCAAATATGTTTCCAATAAAAACTGATGCATCTGACCCACGTAAAAGAGTTTGACGAATAATCAGATTAAAATCGATGATAATCATACACCTTTAATCCATTTTTAATCGATTACGAATCGATTAAAATAAAAACTAATCCAAAAAACCTAATTTTTATCGATTATTTCTATTATTTTCGATTATAATCGATTTTTCTTCAGAGTAAATGGCAAAATTTTTAATAAATTTTCTTAGATTTTCATCGATTATAATCAATTCTTTTCATGAACTTTTAATCGATTATAATCGAAAATAATAGAAATAATCGGTGAAAATAAGGTTTTTGTGGAACTCACATATATTTTCGAAGAAAATAGTGAGTGTAAGTTTTAAATCGAGGTTTTGTGGCTCCCCTCCACCTACTTCCCCGCTAGGTCCCCACCATTACAGACCGTAGCAATCGAAAAAAATAGATGTTATTTTTTCTAAAGTTTTCTTTTGCAAAATCGATCAAGTTATAATTTTGAAGAATAATGAACATCATTATCTATGAGTTGATTAATACATATGATAGTATGTAAGATCGTCTGTAGATATCATGAATACATAAAACAGACTATATATTATCAATTAATTCAATGATTATAATAATGAGAATGTTAAATTAAGAAAAACGACTTAAAAGAAGAAAAATAACGAGCGAATAGCAACAATGAAAACAAAAAAAATAAGGCGCCGTAGAAATATTTTAAAAAATCTGTTAAAAATGCAGAAATTAGACACATCATTATTCTGCACATTGATTATCGTGCAAAACAACTATAGTCTATCTGAGGTTTTTCACTTTACGCATTTTATATCAGTTTAATGGGAGTAGAGAGTATATGTGAGTTCCACATTTCAGTCCTAAATATGCTGCGTTAACAAGCTTTTTGGATTAGTTTTCATTATAATCGATTTTAATCTGATTATTCGTCAATTATTTTTTTGCATGTGGAATGCATCGTAAAAGAATGCAATGCGTTTAAACGCAAGAATAGCATGTTTTTTCCTGCCGGTAATCATTGAAACACTGGCTAACGCAATTATTATTATGAGAATGCAGAAAATGAGGATGCATTTTCTTTATAAATAGAAAAGCGTGGTAACAGAAAACAAAACGGTAGTTATCCTTCAGTCATTTCTATTCTGTCACTACGATTTTCTTTTATTTACGAAATCCTTCATACGCGTAGTCAGTTTTTCGTCGTATTAGTGTTCAACTAGTTTTTCTTTCATCAGTACTAAACGCTAATATATAATATTCTAGATTTATTCTTTATCATTTTTTAATAGTATAATTATACATAGCTTTCGTCACTTATTGATGCTGAAACGAAAAACCATGAGCGCTAATGATTCTAAGAAAGCTCGACCGTCAAATCCATCAACTAAAAATTCTGAAGTTAAATTAATCTCAAGAGACGAATTCAGTTAGACGTGTTGTTTTTAAGAGTCTTATCTGACTGGACAGTTTTTTACTGATAACTTCTCTGAACAAAGATCCCTGCTGTTAATTTTTTTGAGGATATCTACAGTAATTTCACATACACGTAACATATAAAAATAAGTTCTAGAAAGTTTATTATGTCAAAATGCATGTGTTTTAATTTTGCGAAGTCACGCCACTAACGAATGACTTTGTCCATGTATCTTATTAAAAAAACCCGTTTCGTATTTGACGATTAATAAATACATTAGCAACAAAATGGTACAGAAAAGCATGATAAGTACTTTAAAAGAGTATCGATAACTTTCATTCAATTCTTTTTAAAGATAAATAATGATTAATACTTCATTAGACTATTTATTTTCATGATATTTAATCTAAATGCTACAATTATTAAGAAAAAAAGTCAAAATATTCGAAAATTCGAGAGGAAAAAAATAGGAAATTTGTGTTTTTAGAGCACAATCATTAATAAACTAGTTAAGATGACTATTAATTTCATATTATTTGTTAAATATTGCCCATGATTTTTTGCTATTAACTGTCGTTGTTGTAAATCATCATTAAAATCTTTTGAAAGAAAACTGCGAAATAATTTTCTTGTACCAAGTGATTGTATTGGTCGATACACATTTTTCATTAAATGAGCTTTTTCATCATGTAAATATCTAAAAGCATGAAGTTGTTGAAACGATAATTTCAATGGGTCTAATAAAACACTCCATATAACTGATTCATAACAAGGTGGTGTTGTTAATGAACCATCATAACGATAATAACGACTCATACGTTCTTCACCAATTAATGCTTTCAAACTAAATTCTTCACTAACAGAAGTTTTTTCATTTTGACCTTTAACATGGATTAATGCATCAATTAGTGGTTGAAGTAATGGGTTCGGTTCATCACTAACCTAAATATACAAAAAATAAACCATATTGATAACAAGATAACCTAAGGTGCAAGTCTTGACGTGAAATATTCATTCATTTTTCGGCTATACTTAAAGACAACTGGTTACAATCAGGAGCGGTTAGTGTACAATTCGACTATTTCAATCTTTCCAATTATGTGTTTAGAATTTCTTTCTAGGATAAGATCAGACAATTATCATCAGATTATTTCAAAAGATCCACAAGTGTTCGTACGAAATATTATTTTAGTCAATATTATATTTCGATTGAAATCTTGCAAATTCAAAGTGTGAAACAGTTTATAATAGCTCAGATTTCTCGAGCAAAGTTTGCTCTACAAAGCTTGCTATTCACTTTTCTACTTAAAAGAAAAGTTTTCGAAACAGCGATCTTTTTACCAATCGCATATTTCCATAGAAACTAGCTCATGAGACTGGAAGTGCATAGATGAGATTTCGCGTATTTTACTATTTCCTGTTTATGCAGAATTCAGTGCTCTACGATTAGAGAGCTGAGGATTTTTGCTTTTATGGATTGAGACCCTGCTGAGTTCAGACTTCAGTTTCTTTTCTTGAATACTTGTCATCCTCTGTGTAGATGAGCAAGTGAAAAAATTAAGGTTTTACCTATTTATTGGCTACTCTCATAGAATAGTCAACCTAGAGTTATGTCTAGTTGTTCACTTTTCTATCACTTGATACTTCATAAATTAAAATTCTTCGCTTACCAGGAAAGTACCCGAACTGATACTTACCGTTTCAGTTTATATTGAGTTCACACAAAGGTCTTCGTAAGACTAGAAAAATCCTAAAAGGGTTTCTAGCGTTGAACTTCCAAGGCCGAGTTATGACTGTTTTACTAAATTTTAGATCCAGATTTCGGTACTTACCAAAACACTAAATAAAGAAATTTCGATCTGATATTTTAACCATAGGTATGTCTGATAACTCTGAAAATATTTCTTTGCCAAGATATTGAATTTTCAAATAAACTCGATTCTTATGGTAAACGATCATTTGTTAGACATTCAATATCTCGGCACAGGAACATTCTTTTTGGCTGAAACTTTCAAAATATCCCCAAAAGTCGTTAGATCTATCTATGAACAAATCTTTAGGTCGAAATTCCATTATTCGACTTTTTGATAAATATCTAAACCTGTATTGAAAACTCAGTAAAACGGTCATAACTCGGATCGAAAGGCCCATGAACAAACTCTTTTAGGATATTTCTACTCTAACCGAGACCCTCTTTGTCAATCCAATATCAGCTCATCCAGTGGATATCATTTAAGGTGACTTCTTTGTTAATTGAAAACAATAGTATGTTAACAAAAACAAAGAAAATGAACACTACATCGATATATAAAATGCGTCATTGAAACTTGTCAAACTAAATATGACACCAAAGTCTTCAGCTGTACGGAATACTATTCGGTTGTACTAATGTAGGCAAGACCAGGCAAAAATATGTTCTATGCAATTTGTTTAGAAAGCTATGAGTAACCAAAACGTGAAACTTGCACCTCCCCTATCTATAATAATATTGAATTGAAGCTTTTCCAAAACATAAAGTAATGACTGTGTCAAAACTGCCATTTGGCTTTGTACAAATATAACTTCAGACTTTTTTAATGAAATTCCCTGATAGTTGTTCAGTCTTCCGTCAAAAGAAAAATCTGAACATATATTCGAAAATAGCGGAAAATTTTGATTCTGAGCTCAATCAGTTGTCTTTTAGTAATTGAAAAATGAGTGAATATTTTTTGGCAAGATTTTCACGTTCTAGGTTATAAAGAAACAATAGAACTAAATAAAACTTTACTTCAAAGAAAACACCAACAACAGCAAGACTACGTGTATTAGACATAGCTTGACGAATATCTGAATACCAGTTCGAATAAGTAACCATATGCATCTGTTTCAAAAATATGAATATATAGTGAAATCAATATTAAACATGTCAAATACTAACTTCAAGTGGATATGGTCGTCCTTCATGTAAATGTTCTGATCCATTAATATCATCATTTGAATGACCCCAATGAAAATGAATTTGTTCAACTTTATAATCTTCACTTTCAGGCGCAACATTTTTTAATACATAATGATTTCTCATATTGAGTTGTACTATAATATAAAATCATGAAGATTATATCATTAGAAAATTATTACGTTCATTTATCCAAATAATCAAAATATATAAGACTTGTACAAACCTGTATGACCACTATTGAAAAGTTCGGCTGGTTCTATTAACAATAATAATACAAATATAATATATTTATGATTAAAATAATTTACCTCTAGGATATCGTTCTTCTAAATACATTTGTTTCAGACGACGATCATAATGTGATATATTAAATCGAAGATCAATTGGTGATTGTAATTTACCACCGCAATAGGGATTTCCACGTATCCATTGTTTGGTATTTTCATAAGACCATACACCTATATATCATATTAAATAAGTTTTATTTCAAAAGATAAACAAAACAATTTACCTTTAGATTGAACAACGATTGGTATGAATAATAATATTATTAATACAAACTGTAACATTTTTTTTACAACGAAATTATCTACAATACAAAGAAGAATATCAAAAGAAAAAATATATATATATATGAAATAAGGAAAATATCAGATTCATGTATGATAATAAAAACATATTGATTTATTTGAAATATATGATCAATGATTGTTTTTTCCTATCTAATCAATCAATATGTCATGATAAATTCAATAGTATCTGAATTCAATAGAACAAGATAAACTAAAACTTTTATTCAAATACGTCAATCTCCTATAAATAGCAACCAATCATTCGAAACATGTAAAAATTATCTCTATGCGATAGAAAAACAGCTTGCAGGAAAAAAACATCAGCGAAGGATTTACTTCAAATATTTACATGTCTGATAATACCAAGGTTCAGATGTAGTACTTATTATTTTACGTGTCAAACGAATTATCCATTTAGTCATTAATGACTTTCTTTTTTTATTACAATCTAAATATAATCCTGGTTAATGCAGTAGACTTACTACTACAGAAACGAACAAAAATAAATATAAGCCAAAATCTTTCTTCCTGCAAAACACTGAAAAGGAAACAACAGAATAAGAAAGTGGAGAGAAAAGAAATGTTATTTCTATCGGTATTCATTTAAGCTTGCTTCCTCTCTAAAAACTCTAATCTTGATCGAAATATATTCAAGTATGAAATTTTCAGTCCTATATCATGATGTTTTCAGAAGATATTCAATTAACAAAAATCAAAAACAGCTCATGTAACAAACTGAAATTCGCTGTAGACTTAATTTTGTATTGTTTGAAAGAGCCCTATTCTTCTGAAATTCTTACTCTTTAAGGGAAGAAAATTTCAATATTTGAAAAAATAGCGCTCTAATTATAAAAGTCCTCTCCCATCTAATAGTAACAAAGCTTAATACAAGAAATGGACTCTGTCACACGCTGTATCTTAACATGCTCTTTCAAGCAAAAAAACAAAAGCAATTGGCCATAATGCAGCTCTTTCGAGAATTCTGGAAAATGCAATCAAAAAAACATTTTCTCCAGCAGAAAATGATGGAAAGTTTTGGACAGAAACGATGTGCCAAATAAAACATGGTCTCATTTGTGAAAGATCATATATCAGACTATTTTCCAGTGCATTTATATCAATTTTTATGTTTTTCACGAATGATCTTCAGAAAATAATCCAAAATGAAAAGAAACTTTTGCTAAAATTTCAATGAAAATTTTTCTTCGCACAATATTGTATATATATTTTGTTAAATAGAAAGATATCGATGTATAACTAGAAAATTTAATTAGACACTTCTTATATTAATACAGCTCCTGTTTTTGTAATCATCCTTGTTTTCTCTATTACAAGCCTACTTGGAATGTGGATGTAATAAAAAAGATAACGAGAAAAGATACTTAACAATTTAAAACAATTCAAAATTCGAAACTGGTAAAGAGAGTAGAGCTCCGTGGTTCCAAAACCTACTTGAAGCCACGGTTCCGATTCGATTCTTAAAATATCACTTGAAACTGCAATCATTAAATTATCATATAGATACAAAAATTTTAAAGCTATTTTGAATAATTTTCATTATTGAATTGTTGAGATTAAAGACATCTCATGTTCCAATACTTAAACAAAACAATATGCTGAAATTTTAATCTTAACAGTAAAAAAATGAAGATTTCTCGACATAAATTTAAGAATTTTTGTATCTATCTGATGATTTAATGATTCCGGTTTGGTTCTTGGTTCCAGATTTTCGGAACCGACGAACTCTAGGAGAGAAACCGTTGACTGCGCAAGCCAAGCCGCCATCAACAAATATAGCAGAGATTGTTCAACATTAAAAACGAAGTGTTCGTGACTGAAAAACAGTTGCTGCAAACGGATCTGCGCATAAATTGACAAAAGTACTTACTCGAACTGTTAACAACGACTAGAATTATCTGAAATACAAGAAACAAAGAATTACCAACTATATGAGATCCTGCGAAATGAAATGATGCAAGTAAAATGAAATTCAATTGTACTAACATATTCATTTATCGAAACTAATCTTATATGGTTTGGAGGTAGGTCTCATATGAACATGTTAAGATTCTTCGTCAAATCCTTTCAAACATTATTCTATTATCTTAATATTTTTACTTGTTTATTGTATTCGTGATCTTCATTCAATATTGCAATGTAAAGACCCATCTAATGAATAAACTAACTATCATACGAATCATATATTTGCCGATAGATACCTTTAAAAGAATTATTTTATCCAATTATGAATTTCATTTGGTCATTTTTTCATTCTCATGTGTAAAAATTACTTTTTTAAATTACTAACTGAAACACTTTAAATTGTATAAATGATAACCAGTTTTGTTTCTTTTTGTATTTGTCGATTTTACCAATTGTAAACTTTTTTGTTTTATTAATTGGTATGTTATAATCAATTAAATCTTTTGTATTTAATGGTATATGTAACAATACTTTTGTGAATTTTGTAAAATGATAAAGATGGATCTAGTTTTCAAGTTGAATTGTTCGGGCTTTTGAAATTTCAATTGGCATACATTAACAGTACCATTTGCTATTGTTCAAAATCTTGATAGTGTATGCCATTCTCTAAATGTATGTGTAACAGATTTAAAGGAATCTACGCTTTATTTTTCATATATATTCACGGAAGGGAAGCAGTAGAAAAAAAAGAGAGATAAGTCGAAAGTCATTGACCCATTCTAATGACTAGGGAACAATACACACAAACAGTGATACTTATATGAATTCACAAAAGAGAAAGAGAAAAATAGAAAGAAAGAAAGAAAGAAAGAAATAAGCAACTGACGAGTCATTATCTGTCACAGTATGTTCATTTTTTTATGACTTTATTTATTGTTTCTAATGAATTGTTCATATTTGATATATAAAAAGCACCGCATTGTTCATATTAATGAATCATGAGTTGTTAATTAGTCTAATTTGTAATATGCTAAAAATTCTTTTTTTTCTTTTTCTTCCAAAGACAAAAAAGGATCAAAATTATGATGCATTCCTTAGGACTATTTCTCGTACAAATCACTGACATTTATCAATGTTCTCTAGTATTTCCCTCAGAATACAACTACTTTTTTTTTTATTAATCCGTTACGTATAATATTAGCTATAAAAACTTGAGCTACAAAACTTAATTCATTGATGTTTTTCAGAAATATTTGTAAACATCAATCAAAGTCGTGGTGTTTTTCAGGAAGTATAAATAGAATATAAATTATTATATGATAGAACTATATCAATATTGATAGAAAGAAAGCAAACGAGAAAATGCAAATATCATATAATGATCTAATAATCTTCATCACATCTTATCTTATTAAACTTTATTTAATAATAATGTTTTTTTTTTACTTATCTAATTTATTTTATAATTATAAATTCAATTTACATATTAGCCTAATAATTAAATATTTTACTTGTATATCAACAATCAAAATTTGCATAATTTTCAACTATGAATAGAATTTAATCTACTTGAGAATCAAATAATTTTATTAATCATTCAATTTATTTACTAATCAGATACAAATTCTATATAGAATTAATCTAGTTTTACTTAACAAGAAAATAAAAGTCGTTTGTTTTGTTCTTATGAATTTAAATAACTTACTTTTTCTAATAATAAATGATTGTAGCTTCTATTACTTTCTTTGAAATAAAATAAATAATATCAATACATATATCTAATTTACATTCACTTACGATCCAGTTTTTTTTTCTGCATGTGTCATAAAAAAACTCGGTAAATTTTTCTCTTTTTTTACGATCAAAACAAATCGTAATATTGATTGCAGCTAAATAGCATTATTAATCGAGAAAAGTAATAGAAATATATTCTTTTAATATTTTACCAGCAGTAGAAGAAAACGATGTCCTTGTCTCAGCACGTACCGCATTGACCGTGTAATTTATGTGAATATATTTCTTTCGATACACACATAACAAATCAATTATCGTGTCTATCAATCCATTCTCGTGTGAAGTAAGCAACTTACCCAAGTATCGTCGTTATGCGTTAATGTGTGAATGCTACAAAGAGAAACAAAAAGACAGTCTATAAAAGTGCAAATTATAGAAAAATCGAAGGCGAATAACCGCATGATTGTATAGGTGTATGAATACTGGTCTTCTTACACAAGAGAGACATTGTCTTATTTTTTACATGAACTAGTTTGTCAATGAAAAAGTAATCAACATGAAAAACATAAATATACCTTGACGATTATAAAACGTCATTTATTAGTATCTTGAGGTTATAAACGAATACTTTTTTTCGGGTTGGTGAGACAACAAAAGAACCATTTCCAAACCCGTACGTTTTTTCTGTTCTCTCATTAAGCTCATCAATTATTTTTTTCTTTTGTTTAATTTCAAGGTCCTAATGATACTTATTAGAATGTATGTCTGGATAAAAATATTTTGTCGTTTCAGTTTAGTCAAGATAAAAACTTGCACGATACTAATCTTATCAATATGATATTTTCTTATTCTAGATAGATTATTTATCAATATATATGATTGATCACGGGAAAGCGTCAGTTGTTAATGTTACCTCATGATCGACATATAATTAAGGAAATAGAAATATATATATATATATATATGATTTATAAAAGAATCATTTATTATACCAATGCAATTCTACAAATTAGATTGTAAATTTTATTGCTTCACTTGAAGCAAATAAGTCTTCTTTTTAATTATTTTTTTACGCAAACAAAATTTTTCTTTATCTGAAGAAGAAGTGTATTATACATAAGAATAATTGATATCTGTAGCAAGACATATTATTCTACTGTATTCATTGATAGATCAATCTTGTTACTACAAAATGCCAATCGATCTTGCTATATAAATGATTAAATTAATATATTTTATTTTGAATATCATACACAATTTAATATATGAAATAAATCTCATCAAGTGTCGAAGTAGTCTATGTCTCGAAATCAGGAAAACTTATAGAAATGATAAGATTGTAAAGCTTACTTTGATATTGCCGTCTAGAATAAAATCTCCGTATAAGTGAGTCAAGTAATGAAGGCTGACTAGAATTAAAACGCATGCTACCTAGACAAACAACTTCGAAATTGATCAAAGAGTAGTAAAATGTACAGTAAAATTGTTTTTATTTCTCAGGTACACACTTCTACTTCTTCGTTTTTTTTTTCATTCTGTATTGTTTATTCTATTTTACTTACTCTGCCTATGTATAGAGTAACTATGTTGCGGTCATTTACTTTAAAAAATGTGCTCTTTTACTTTGTCATTCTCAAATGCCAAGAAACATGTGTGTTTTTTTTCCACTAGACGATTTTATGATTTTTGTTTTCAAGGTTGTTTTAATGCCAAATGTATTTTTTGAGCACACAATAAAACTTATTTTCATTGTGTTAAAGATTACGACTAATAACAGAAAATTTGATGAACAATTTTGATATCGTTATTGTGAAATGAATTCTTGTTGCGGAATATGAGGTCATAAGAAAAAAAACGAAATTCGGATGAATGTACAAACAATAATTTTTACAACAGAAGCGACTAATGCAGCTAAAATGTCGAAGGAAAAGAGTATCAGATGTGTTATAGCCGTGAACAATAAGGAATTGATGATATTGACATAAGACCGAAATACTGATTATGACTGCCAATGCAGAATTGATTCATTTCACAGCTCAAATAATTGAAAATAATGAATACTTGAACGGATTATGAAAACAAAAAGTAATTGAAATAAATATGACAGGAACTTTATTTGTTTTGTTTTTGTCGAACATAAAGAAAGTATCATAATCGAGTATATATAGTCTTATAGGAATCGAGAGTGAAATATCAGGAAAAAATCAGATTTTTCATTAAAAAACAAGAAAACTGGATCATTTCTAAAGAAAAAATAATCAGGCAAGTAATATTGCTGTGAGATCTGATGTTATTCTTCTTCTCCTTCATTGTAATTGGGTGGAATACACTTGCGACAACTAGAAATTATTGGTTCATCTTGTTCTTCTGCAATGTGCTCATCTTTCATATCATAAATATTCGCTAATGAAAGTGGTTCATTAATATGATCTATTTTTGAAACACCAATAGAATCAGCTAAACGTCGTGCATTTTCAATATTCAATGTTGATGGAAAACAATATTGAACAATAAGACGTCCAGGACGTAAAAGAGCAGAATCTAATGACACCAACGGACAATTAAATGTAGCTAAAATTTGAACTTGAATTCCATCACTTAAAAGACCATCTGAAAGATTTAGTAGATTAGCGACTGATTGACTTGATGAACGTAATCGAGAAAGACTTCCTTCTGCATCTTCAATAATTAATAATGAATTTGGATAACGAAGAAGTAGAGGGATAAGTGCAGGACTTGTAAGATAGTCAATCATATCACTTGAAACATAAATAAGATATCTTTCTTTTTCATTTTTCATACAATGAAGTAAATAACGTATATAATGTGTTTTACCTAAAGAAATAAATGATAATTATTAAGTTTTTTTGTTAGTAATATGTTCACTAATAATATTTACCTGATCCAGGTGCTCCATGTAAAAGTACCAGACCATTAGCATCTTTTTTATTAAGCCATGTAACAATTTTACTATGCACATTAAGAAAATCTTGTCCACCATAACTCACAGCTAAGTCATCAATACGTGGCTTTTTTATATATGTATAACCCATTAAATAAAATGATTCAGAACCACCATTGCAACGATCCTTGTGTTTACCAATAAGACGTAAATTAGCTATTTTAGGTTGTAAGAGACTCAATGTATTATCATTAATTAAATCGTAAGCAAACTTTTGAACAAAAGCCTCATGTTCTTCTAAATATAATATCAGAATCTCAAAAGCAGTAAGAAAATGACGATCTGGAATATAATCAGGTTGAATTAATTTTTTAGAATTATTGGTATAATTGGTTACCCATGAACATTGATTTAAATTTATGAGGACTCCATTGATATTTGGTAAGGATAATAACAGTTCATATGCATAGTATTTCTTGGAACATGGATGAAAATAACGTCGAACAATTGAAACTTCTTTTTTAACATCACAGTTACCATATATTCGTTCTAATACACTTTTGACATGAAATAATGCGTTTGTTCCGTTTTCATCTGAAGCAGGTGTTATACAAATTTTTCGAGGAAATCTGCCATACTTTAATAGAAATATTTTCATCACAGGTAGATCTTTGCCATACGATGGATACGATAGCTTAACATGTGAAATAACTTCATTCATTACAAACAAATTTTTTGACACACAACTGCCTATGATTGTTCTTTCTTTTATATTGTGAACAACATTGTTTTGATTGATTCATGCTATGTTAGATGAGTGCAAATATAATAAGTAAGAATGAATCATGATGAATATTTTTTATTTCTTTTCAAGTTCAAGACAAAAAAATACGAATTGCACATTACTTTAATCTAGTTTTATTTTGTCTTACTAATTTATTTAAAAATGACAGATTTGAATATTTCATAATTACAATGACATACATATCTATGGCAAAGAAATATTGTTTTGTTAAATTAATTTCATGATTCCGATTGTGGACTTGAATCGGATAGAGCTCGTTTATTACGTAAACTTTTTGTTCTACAAAATAAACAGAATTTATTTGTACTCATTCGTTTTGTTCTTTTTTCTGTTTGCTTACTTTGCTCTTCTTTTACTTGATGTAGATGTATTTGTCATTGTTCTTGATGGTGGTTTTTCACTACTTGTTGTACTTTCATTTTCATCTTCAATATCTTCATCAACTTCATCATTTATTGGTTGAGTTGATTGTGTAGTATTTTCAGAAGTTACTAAAATATATATACTGTGTGTCTTGCCTGGTCAAAGAGATTTAAATGAAACATACTGCTATTGTTTTTCTTATTTGATGATAATTCTTGCATGATTTCACGATGTTTACGAATATTTTTTCGACCTAAACAAGAAAGTTTTCACTTTTTAGCAAAACAACAAAAAAACATCGAACACCTACGTTCTTTTTCTCGTTCACGTTTCAGTCGATCATGACCAAGCAACTACAAATGAAAATATTGTATTTCAATGAATATTGAAGAAATGATTTTGTTACTGTATATGATGTAGCAGAAGAATATGAGAACAGTCGATCAGATTCACGAAATTTTGACGATTTATCAATTGGACTAATCCAAACAAAAAAAAATAAATAGCTATCAAATAGTAACTTAACATGAGTAATCTAATAGTATAAGTTTTCTATTAGAGATGTATATTTTGAGATGCTGTGAAATAATTTCTTTTCATTTACCATAGATTTTACTAAACAAATTTTTAGTGAAACAAGAATCATAACGCCTGAAGTTTCACATGAACATGTCATTGTCAAAATTCATTCAATAGAAAATAAAACATTCTTCATATGTCTATGTTTAATTTTCGATACTGAAAAACATGAAAATCGTAAGATTTTCTACAAACAGCAATGACTTCTAATGAATTCAAAGCATGCATATTTCAGTTAAAATGAAGTGCTGTGTTTTTCCATCTTCGTTTCTCAAACGAAAATCAAAAGTCCAATAGAAATTTTATTAGATGAAGGAACGTATGTTTGTCTCTTTTTATCTCAAGTATGACCGTGATCGAATTAAAGCATTTCGCAATTTTTAAAAGTTCAGTCTTTATGCATTCCGACTTCAGTCATCATTGAAAATGCTTCTGTATCTACTGCACCAAGCTTTTTACAATGTAAAATTTAACTAACAGGGCGAATTCAATCTTTGCTTATATTTCTATTGCATTGATTATAACATATAGAACTATAAATATTGAAAACACAATATTGAATAATTATTCATTTGCGTTTTCTTTTCTAGGAAGAAATCCAACGAGATTGGAAAGTACATTGAAGAAACATGAAGACAAACTTCTGGTAATCGCATGACACAACTAGAAATGCAGAAAAAACGATCACCTCTCTCTAATTATTCCTTTACTTTAACAAATCACTGATAGTTTTGATAAGAACTTACTTATTATTTCCGCTTCCACTAGTCAAACAATTGCTCCATCCTCGAATACAATTTCCTGTATCTTGTGTTTGTTTAAGATAACTTGTTTCAAAAGCATAAATTTGTTCTTCAATATCTGATAATGATTTCTATAAATAATATATCATTTATTAACAAGATAAAAAAAACAATATCTTATTAACAAACTTCAATTTCTTCTTTTTTCTTCAATAATTGTGCAAGTTCAGCACGTGTATCACGAAAAGTATGATTTGTTATTGATTTATCTATATTTGTAGTTGGACTTGTTGGTGATGTTAATGTTGTTGTAGCAGTAGAGTCTTTCATTCTTTTCTTTCTTTTTCAAAAACAAGAGAAAAATAAAATATTTTCTATATTTTATCTAAAGAAATATTTGAATAATCTTTATTTCTAATGAAATTTTATTTATTAGTTCATCATTATATTTTTTTAAAGATACAATAGAACAAACAACAAAAAAGAGATGATTATTTTATTTATTGTCCAAGAATTATTTTTTTTGTTTATTATTGTTTAATATTCTTCACCTTCTCCTTCGCCTTCACCCTAAAATAAAAAGAATTCATATTTTTTATTTAAATCAAACATAAACAGAACAATTTTTCTTACTTCAACTGAATCAACACCAACTTCTTCATAATCTTTTTCCAATGCAGCTAAATCTTCACGAGCTTCAGAAAATTCACCTTCTTCCATACCTTCACCAACATACCAATGAACGAAAGCACGTTTAGCATACATTAAATCAAATTTATGATCAAGACGAGCCCAAGCTTCTGCAAAAAGAAACACAAATCATTAATGTAAAAACCCAGAAAAATCGAATAATGTTACCAGCAATAGCAGTTGTATTCGATAACATGCAAACAGCTCGTTGTACTTTAGCTAAATCTCCACCTGGTACAACAGTTGGTGGTTGATAGTTAATACCAACTTTAAAACCTGTTGGACACCAATCAACAAATTGAATGGTTCGTTTTGTTTTTATTGTGGCAATAGCTGCATTGACATCTTTGGGTACAACATCACCACGATATAAAAGACAGCAAGCCATATATTTACCTAAGAATTCACAACGAACATCGAAGAAAAGATAAGAAAAAAAACTTAAGCTATTTTTTACCATGTCGAGGATCACATTTGACCATTTGATTAGCTGGTTCAAAAACAGCATTTGTTATTTCAGCGACAGTTAATTGTTCATGATAAGCTTTTTCAGCTATATAGCGAAAGAAAAAGAGAAAAAATGAACAAATAAAGATTCGACAGATATCATACCGCTAATGATGGGTGCATATGTAGCTAATGGAAAATGAATACGAGGATATGGCACTAAATTTGTTTGAAATTCAGTAAGATCAACATTAAGTGCACCATCAAAACGTAATGATGCTGTAATTGATGAAACAATTTGTGCAATTAAACGATTCAAATTTGTATATGTTGGACGTTCAATATCCAAATTACGACGACAGATATCATAGATAGCCTCTAAAAGAAAATTTCAAATATTAATTATATAAAAAAAATTGTTTTTTCTTCTAACAAACCATTATCAACCATAAAAGCGCAATCAGAATGTTCAAGTGTTGTATGTGTTGTTAAGATTGAATTGTATGGTTCAACAACGGCAGTCGAAATTTGTGGAGCTGGATAAACAGCGAATTCAAGTTTCGATTTTTTTCCATAATCAACACTCAGACGTTCCATTAATAATGATGTAAAACCTGAACCAGTACCACCTAATAATCAAATTTTTATTATAATAATTAGTCTGTTTTTATTTTTAATTAAATAATTTACCTCCGAAGCTATGAAAGATAAGAAATCCTTGAAGACCAGTACATTGATCAGCTAATTTACGAATACGATCAAGTACCAAATCGACAATTTCCTTACCAATTGTATAATGTCCACGAGCATAGTTATTAGCTATAGAAATAAATATTCAGTAAAAATAATTCACTTTTCCTTTTTTCAAATAAACTTACCAGCATCTTCCTTTCCAGTAATTAATTGTTCAGGATGAAATAATTGACGATAGGTACCAGTACGTACTTCATCTAAAATATGTTATCATAAGTTTAAACAGTTATGTTTGTTTTTTTTCTTTCCCTACCAATAACAGTTGGTTCCAAATCGACAAAAACAGCTCGTGGTACATGTTTACCAGCACCTGTTTCACTGAAGAAGGTATTAAATGAATCATCACCTCCACCAATTGTTTTATCTGATGGCATTTGTCCATCAGGTTGAATTCCATGTTCTAAACAATATAATTCCCAACATGCATTACCAATTTGAACACCAGCTTGACCAACATGAATCGAAATACATTCACGCATGATCTAGAAACAAAAAGAATTTCTTTTTGTAAGTAACAAACGAAATAAAAAAAACAACATACTGAAGTTTTTGTTTTATTTAACGACGGTAGTGGTTGCTTATTTGCTCTCGAACGTCTCTTTGTGGCGACTGACTGACAGAGTGAGCGAGTTAGGCTGAAATGTTATATAGAGAGACAGAAAGGGAGCGAATGTGTAACGAAGGCGACGAATGAAAAAGAACAAGAGAGAGAGAGAACAATCCGGGGCGACGGCAGCACTATCACCCCGAGATGATTCATCATCTTTTTTTATAACCCCATGAAACGATGAAAATGCAACGGCAAGTTTCTATTGGAGACACTTGAATTGATCGATAATGAAACAAACACAACGAAAAAAAGAAGAAAAAAAAGAAACTCCTTAGAGACGACACCAACACTACCATCAACAAAGAGAAGTGTATGGTCGCAGTACTCTAGAGATCGACTTCTGTTCAACAAAAAGTCTTGAAAAAACATAAATAAATCGTTTGAACAGGCGATAGTCTTTTTAATTAATCATGAAAATCCTAAAATGCTATCATATTAAACAGAAAATAATAATAAAAGAAAAACAAAAAACTAATGAATATATTTGCGTTGCTATATAAGAACCGGAAAAAAGTACGTATAAAGTTGGCTTTGTCTTCTCTTTCTTTTTTATTTTGCATAAAGTCAATAGCATGCATGTTCTTATAGCATAAAGGTAGATAGTAATTTCAAGTGCTTTAACTGATAATATAGAAACTGTGCAAATGCTAGTTTAATAAGTTTACTTTTATTTTTCAGGGACAAATTTTTTTTTTATATAAATTGATTGTTTGTGTCGTTTTTCTCTTCTTCACTTTCAATATCATATCTTAATAATATACATAATAATGAATTCTTTTAGTTCTTTTTATTTTCTTCGTTTTTAACGTGTACATTGAACGCTTGGACATAAGAATATGGGTGCAAATAAGACGAAATTAAATAAAAATATAGTCCACCTTTTAGTACATCGTACAAATCGTAAGAAAAGAAAACAAAAATATTAAAAATATTTATTCAGTTTAATTTTTCTTCAGGTTCATCAGCAGAAATAAAAGCTATGTGCGTAAGTTTTATTTGAAAATAACAAAAAATGAATTAAGTCCTTGGTTTTTTTTTTCGTATTTAAGGTATGCAATTTTTTGTCGACATTTTCCTAGTGGAAAAATTGAATCACCTCAAGTAAATTATGAATAATATCTATTCATGAAATAAAATGTTTTTCATTTATTTAGGATCTTTGTCGATGTCTTCAAAAATTTTCACTCATACCAATTGGATATACGGATCAACAAGCTTTTGAACGACTTTATCGATTGTTTGATGCACAAAATCGAGTAAGAAACCTTTTTTAAATTTTGTTAACATGAGAATTTTTTCATTTTTCTTTATTTATGTTTGAATAGAATCAAAAACATGATGGTAGCATTGATTTTGTTACTTTTATGATTGTATCGAATGTTCTCGAACGTGGTACAGCAACACAAAGAATAATTTGTGAATGAAAAAAAAGAAACATTTTTGATTTTTATATAATTTTTATTTTTAGTATATTTTCAATCTTTTGATGTAAATAATGATCAAATTATAACACGTGATGATCTAGAAGCATGTTTACCACCAACAGTTGAGTCTCGACAATTAATTCAACAATTACTCAGACAATGGGATATGGTAAATTTTCTCTATAGACATATTTATTAATCGATACTTTTCGTTTTTTAAATCAAAGAATAGAGATGGTGTAGTTACTCTAGAAGATTTTCAACAATATGTTATGACCAATCCAGAATTATTGCCAATGTTTGCTGATCCCAATGAAAGAGTTCGAATGAGTAGTGTTACTATTGAATCATCAACCGATAATAATCGATCTGCCGATATTTATAATATTAATCGTGGAACTTTTGCAAAATCTCAATAAATAAAACTAAAAGAAGAATTTCTAAATATCTTTATGATTATATTGTAGAATACAACGTGATATTTTTTAAATAAATATAGATTTATATATATACAAATATATAAAGTATAGATAACCTTGACTGTGTATATCTTAACGAATAGTGCAATGTTTCAATTCAAAGTTAGATGGATTTAGATGCTTATTTTAATCATAAAAGTTATTTTAACTGGGAACATAATAATGACAATTGGACTACTAGTTGAAACATGCAGCTGTGAACTAATGCTTCAGGTCAGTTTTTTTCTCAGCATCAATCAGTTTTCTTAATATTAATTCGTCCAAATACTGCAAAAAAATCCTATGCGTTTATCGACTTTACAGGTTTTAACTGCAACTATTCAAAATGCATCGATATACAATTGGATGATGCACTACAACCACCTTTACATCCATAATTCTGATCCATAACATACTAAAAATAAAGAGCAAAAATTATGTTCTGTATTTTTTTTTCGAACTATTGAATCCTCCAGCTTGATCTTTCACGTCAGAATTCAGTTTTTTAGAAACAGTAAATTACCAAAAAGTCTTCTTTTTTTTTTCTAAGATGAGTAATCATGTCACGAAATTTCGGTACTTAATTATGCTAGAATCAAATCCAATTGTAGAAATGTATCTTTTTCACTATATGAATAACATTTATTATTCCTCAACTTCATATCAAAGGTTTTTTAAAATCACATGTTTTCTCTCAATAAAAGTATCATTGCTCATACGAAAAGAAAAAAATAATAAAATATATCAGATGAGCAATACCAATGATTTCATCCCTTAAATCATTCAAAAATCTACTTCCATATGATACAAACAAATCCATAAGATCATCGTGAAAAAATAATCCGAAGAATCATAACTATACGACTATCATAAAAAAAGACCGGAAGAAAAATTAATTTCATTGAATTAAATATTGAATTCATCAGTAGAAAGAACGTCCATAATGAACATACTGAAAACGAATACAACTACGTTACAGCATCGAAATAAATTGTTTGCTCATGATAATCTATGGCTCGAAAGCCTTGGAAAAAAATATTCATCCACTTTTTGACCGCACTTAAAGACAACTAGTTAGAGCCCGAAGCAATTAGATAAAATCAAACTTGTTTACTCTTTCTGAATATATGTTCAGAATTTTCTTTTCCAGTAAAATTGAATAATTCTATTGTCAGATTATTTTAAAAAATTCAAACGAGTGGTTGTACAGATAACTATTGTTGTCTTTTCAATTTTTTATTTCGATTGAAACCTATCGAATTTAAAATGCAAAGTAGTTTTGAATATCTCAGTTATATAAAGTGATTTTAGTATTCTGTAATGGATACTGAGTGGAAACTGTTCCAAGACATAAATTAAGGACTTCGCCAAAATCGCTATTTTGTTTTACACAGACACAGTTTTGAATTTTTTCATCAAGAACTCCGCCGGATCTGATGACCTATCTTGAACTACGATATGATATATGTAGTTTTGTAGAGCAATACGTATTACATCGGCTGATATATAAGAAGTGAAGTTTTATGAAAGTTTTGATATGATGAAAATTCATATACTAGTTACAACCCTTCAGGAGTAAATACGGTACCTATTGACATTATAGTCCCTAAGATAAACTTATGCGAATTTTGTTTTTAAACTCAATTTAATACATTTATATGTTCTCTTCAATTTCTTATAATTAATAATTTTCATTGTTCCTTTTTTGATACTTCAAAATGGTTCTGTTTCTTAGATTTAGGTAATTTCTTGACTATATGGTATTCCATTATGTTGAATTCTATGCCATAGAATAAGTGAATAGCAATGTGAAACTTTCTCAAAAATAGCAGGGTCGTGCTCTTTATGTTTTGTAGATAACATTTTTCGAAACAGCAGGAACTCATTGTTAACTTGCAAGATTGTCTCCTAGAATAGATTATTTTCTTATATGAAGTGAACGATATATCAAAGATATTTTAACCATACCCAACGGTCCTATTGAAAATTTTAGAGTACTAATAATCAGCACAACATACTTGATCAACTTATATAAATAGCTCCTTTAGAAACGAAAAAATCTTTTTTGGTCTTGACATCTCTAGAGGATGGACAGAGATATGAAAAAATCTATTTTGTGAAATGAATGTAAGATATTTATAGATTCTTCTAGAGTTTCATGCATGAATCAAGCATGAATACTTAGAATGAAAATAGAAGTGTTTCTTTCGGCGCCCATATCCCGATGTCCTTCTACGAAGATCCAGCAGCGGTCAGAAAAATTTTTCTTGCATTCATGAAGGAGTTTTTTATAGCAGTTTTGTCAAGAATACTGTGCTGATTATTGATACATAGAGACTTTTAATAGGACTGTTGAATATTGATAAAATATCGTCAATATACTGACCACCTCATATGGAAAAAGAGACTATTTCATGGAACAATCTTGCAAGTTAACAATGAGTCTCTGCTGCTTTGTAAGGTGTTACCTATGAAACATATAGAGCACGATACTGCACGGTTTTTGAGAAAGTTTCACGTCGCTATTCACTTGTTTTGTGGCACACAGTTCAACACAATAGAATGTCCTATAATCAAGAGATGACTTAGATCTAAGAAAAGGGGCTATTTTTAAGTATGAAGAAAGCAATGATGAAAACTATTGATTATAACAAATTGAAGGGCATATATAACTAAATCGAATTGAGTTAAAAACAAAGTTTATATGAACTTTCTTAGAGGTAATTTTTATATGTTAGATTTATGTTAAGCTACTCCAGATATCCTGAAAAAATTAGCAAAAGAGATTTTTGTTCAGAGAAGTTATCAGAAAAAAACTAGTGTTAGGTACGGGACATAAAAAATGACATCGATTTTCACTTTATGTATTTTAGTTTAAAAAGACTACGAATTAAGACAGCAGTTTTGAAAATTAACTAGTACATTTCATAGACAACTTCTGATGCTACGAAGTCTCAATGCAAAATTGTTTCTGAATATATCTAGGTTTTTGAAAAAAAACTCGATTTACTTTTCGTTAGTGACCTGACACAGTACGAATATAGAACTGGAAAAAAATGCTCTTATAAGCAAATAAACTGTTCAAAAACCATTTTCAAACGGACTAATGCTTTCTCAAAATCTCTAGAATATCGATATTTAAGGAGAAGTCTTTTGAAATTCGATCCTTCTGGAGTTTCACCATAGATACAGGGCATGCAGTAAAGTCTACTGTGAAATTTTCGTTTTTTCTCGTATGATTAGTGAAATACTCGTTATTTACTTTTTGATTAATTGCCAATTGAAAGAGACAACAGTTTTACATGCCTATGCTAGAAGCATTTATTCAGAAATATGACCTTTGTGAATAATCAATGTTAAATGAAAGGTATATATGTCCCGTTTTTTCCTGAAATAGCCCATATATTCCTAAAGGATTATAACCACAATATAGGCCTTCAGCTAGAGATCAGCGGAGTCAACTTTTTTCATTCCGAAATCCGACTCCGACTCCGATTCCGAAATCTTTCTTTTTATGACTCCGATTCCGACTCCGAAAAACTCCGAAATTTTTTAACAATGCCATTTAAAAATAAAATGTTCTCAGCAGCCAAAGGACTCTTTAATGACTTAACAAGCGCACGTTTTACACTTAAAATCTCAAGTTTCTCTTTCAAAAAAAAAACAGTTTATGGATGTTATCATCTTCAAAGTCGCTTTTTCCCGTCAAAAAAACCTTTTTGAATGTGTAAAAAATCCACAGTTTTGCTCCCAAAAAATGTGTTTCTGTTACTGATTTTACCGGCCTTGGATGTTCTTCGTCTAAACAAGGAAGAACTAATGATGAAGATAGTCATAGTACTTTGAATGACATTAATATATCTTTTTTGACTAATGTTGTTATGTTTTCATCTTACTTGATCATTCGAGTGTTATAACTGGAAAGTGATTCCCTCATCTTTCTGTCCTACAAGTGATATAAATCTATGTGACAGATATTACGCTTTATTTTTCTATTTACTAATGTTAAAAACTAAGTTTTGGTAAATCGAAAAAAAAAAATATCGGAGTCGAACTTGTAACTGACTCCGACTCCGACTCCGAAAATTTTTGTTTTTTCGACTCCGACTCTCTCGGAGTCGGAATCGGGTTTCGGAGTCCTCCACAGGTCTCTACCTTCAGCACATCAAAACTTTCTTAAAACTTGATTTCTTATATATCAGTCGATGTGCCAGAAATTCACACATATGATATCCTGACTCAGGATAAATCAACAAATCTTGTAATTCCTTTACTGCTGGTTGTTCAATCTTACTCCAAAAGGGAAATCTGCTCGTATAGTCGGAAATATTGAAAACTTCTAATTTTGGCTCTAACTAGTTGTCTTTTAGTGATTTAAAAATAAACAAATATTTTGTGCGAAGATTCTTGTGTTATAGGTTATCAATAGCCAATAGTCACAATACTTCAATGAATACAGATTATTTAAAAAACCGCGAAAATATTTTTATCTTGTTCTCTCTATCTTTAAATCGTCGTTATATCAAACGAAAAATAATTCCTGATTTGCACTATTTGTTTGTTATTTTTTTTTAGTAAACGAAATCCATCCGCGCACAAAAGAACAAACAGGGCAAATGTATGTATGTGACAAAAAAAAGAAAAAAACGCTTTGTCGCACAAACGCGCACTATAGAATTACATAGAAGAAAAGAAAACAAGAAAGAAAATCGAACAGATAATTCACTGTTTGTGCCAATGCGCAGAGAAAAAAAGGAAAAAGGTAAAAAAAACGAAAAAACACGACAGTGTTTTGTCGATCCAAAAAAATGGACAATACACTATCATCGTTGTGCAAGAAGTAGATATATATTTTTATTTATAAGCATATGCAAGAATGCTATCGCATGCGAATAGAAAAAATGATAGGACTTTTATAATATAGCAACAGCAAGAACATCAACAACAATAAACATAAACATGCATTCCTGAAACATTGGCGGGGTTAGGGAATCGAAAGAAAATATGAATAAAATTTTGTTTTATTATTCAATTATGTTCAATGATGATGCGGGAGGTCGAGATAGTTGATAATTTAAACGAAACAACTTTATAATAGATTTTTTTAATTGTCGGACATTATAATCAATAAGAGCTTGTTTTGTAAGTGCTTCTTCACGTAAAATACATATTAATGCTAAATGACGATTTATTTCTTTGAGATAAAGTGCTCGACCACCGGTTAATTTAATAACACTTGATGACATCGAATCAAATACAGCTGATGCTGGTTCATTTGTTGTTTCAAGTAATGTTGAAGGTTGATGATTCAATACTGGTGGTGTTCCTAAAGGACCTAAGAACATGAAAATTATTTTTTTTTCTCTTTATCTTTTTTTTCTAAATTCATATATTTACTATTTAAATATGAACTTTTTCTTGAGCCATTTATTTGAAGATTATTCTCATTATACTCTTCATTTTGAGCTACCATATTCCATTCTTGTTGTTCAGTATTATCACCATGATTATTTTCGTATTCTTCATTAAGATATTCGTCTTCATCTTCATCATCATCATCATCAGCTGACCTTCGTATATTATTTTCACTTGGTTGTCCGTATATTTCACTCATATTTATTAATAAATCAATCATGTCACAGCATAATTCATACATCTTTCAAGAAAAAAATAGATGCGATTTGTTTTGTTTTTGTTCATGTAAATTTAACTTACTTGCATATCGGTGGGTGATGAATCAGTTGCTATACTTATTTTAGTTTGAACATCAAATAAAAATGCTTGTTCAATATTCGATGTAGATAATAAATAATTGAGCAAACGTTCTAAATGGGCAAATTGTGGGATTAATTTTTGTATTACTTTTGAAAATGCTTCAAATATTGAATGATCAAATATGGATGTTAAATGAAAATTGATTAGAATTTCTTGAGAATTTGGATTAGACATATGGGATGTTGGTGACCACGACTCAAGGCCACCTATAGGATCAGCAAAACGATCTCGTACCTAAATAGAATAATATTTTAATTTATTATTTTATTTCTTGAGTATTCACAAAAATAAAAACGCAAAGATTAATGAATTTATATGATAAAATAGTTCGTTTTTATTGTCTTCATTAGTTTTACTCAATGTAGATCTTATCAATTTAATTTAAACGAAACCTATTGACTAAGTAATATTATCTGTTAATCTATATCGTTTGTAGACCTCGTGGGAATTAGTTTCGGATCTGACAGGTACTAGTCGTCGAATAGAAAAAAACGGGGAAAAGTATCTCATATCTTCAGAGTTACTATTCTATTTCGATTGGAAAATTTCATTGAGAGTAAAAAGATACGGTTCGGTCGTGTCTGAAAATACTGAATCCGATGAGCTCTAATCGTTTGTCTTTTTATTTTATTTGTACAAAGAAAATTTATTTTTATTTTTCCAATTGTAGAAATTTTACATGAAATTCAATGGAGGATCAGTAACGAAAGATAGTCTTCAAGTGTTACACACTGTTTTAAATCTAATATATATCGATTTATTGAGCGCAATGAGAGTGGAAGAAGCCTTAAATGATTCATCTGTATAGACTATTCATTTCAAGTTATGATCATTTTCGATCTTTCGTAAGGCGTATATGAAAACATTAAATTACGAAATTTTTTTTTTATAATAGTTTTCTAAGTATTTTTTTTGACATGTGTTTTTTTTCCTTCAAATATTTAACATTTCAAGAACAAAAAATTCTTTCGACCTGAAACTTTTGAAAAATTTCTTCTAATAATGAAATTTATCTATGATCAAAAATTTCGTCATTCAATTTTTTCATACGACCTTTGACACAGGTCGAAAGTTCAGTATAACAAGAAACCAAAATTATAAACACGAAAAAAAAAGAAAGAAGATAAATATGACGTCTAGTGAAAAATCAATGAATGTGGAGATTTTGGTATCGACATAGAAGAAGAGAAGACGCATAGTCACACCAATAACAATACTCTTAACCTTGGCGTTTTTTTACTGCGTGCTTAACTTTTTGGTGCCCAACATTCTCGTGCAAATCATTTTCCTGTTTAAGTATCCATACTAAATTTTCCGCGTTCATCATTTTACAATCTCAAACTTGTACATAATATCCGATTTACAAGAATGTGTAACACTTAGGAATATTTTCTTCATGACTGAGAATATGCTCGTAAGAATGACGAGTGAATAATATTCTCCTTAATTATCATAATGTTTCGAAACATCTTTGATATAAAAAAAAATCATCATAGACTCAATACAACATTTCCTTTTTTCTTTCTCTAGGAAATCATCGTTTATATAATTTTAATGAAAAATATCCAAAAAAAAAACAAAATATTCAAATACAATTTACTAGACAAAAAATAACACGAAAATTTATTCTATTAATAGAATATTCATACCTGATTATGAATATCTCGTTGTGTTTCAATTTTAGATTCTTCAGATAATTGATCAACTTTATGTATAAATATTTCATATCGTATTCGAGGATTAATTCGTCTACCTTTTTGTATAATTGTATTTAAACGTGATATTGATTCTGTATAATCATCTTGAGCATCAATTATATATACAACAGCATTACAACGTTTTAATAAACGTTCTAAATCATAATTACCACCCATCATGTTTGTCATTGAATCGTCATCATAAGATGATGCTTGAACATGATTTCCTCCACTACCACTATTATGTCCTGATGAAAATAATTGTAATTGACCAGGTAATTCTTGTACTTGAAAATTAATAAATGAGCCACATGAAAATTGATTTAATGTTAAATGCGGTGTTGATTCAAGAAATTGTGTTTGTGATGGTTGCATTTTTGTAAATATAACACGTTGTATTGATGTTTTACCTGAACGCCGTAAACCGGTTAATAATATTCTTGGACGTATAAATTGATTCATAGTTCTATTTGATGTATGGTCATTTACGTCACCACCACCTGTATCATTTATTGATGATGATGTTGTTGTTGTTGTTGGATCAAGCATGTATATGATAATCTGGAAAAAGAAAAAGAACAAACATTCATCATTTATTTTTTTTTTTGTTTTTGATGTGTTTACATACAAACAAAAGAAGAAGAAAAAAAAAGAAGAAGTTAGACTAGGTTAAAAAGAAAAGAAAGAAAAAAAAAGAATAAGATGAAGCATAGTGAACAAAATGAAAAAAAAAAACATACACATGAATGTCTGTGTGTAACAAAAGAAGAAAAAAAAAGAGGAAAAATTTTAACGACGTCGTGATTTATATTTGGAATTTGAACTATGGTTACCATTTTGACGATGTTGGAGACTAAAAAATTAGAAAATTATTTGCTAAAAGAAAAAAAAAATCTTTAATTCGATTATTACTGTAATGATGAAGATTCGCGTTTTTTATTTGAACCGGATGATGATGAACGTGTTGATGATGATGATTTTGAACCAGATGAAGATGATGTTGAACTACTTGTGTTACTACCAGATGATGAACTTGAAGAAGATGAATGAGATGCTACAACAAAAAACAATTAGATTATTTTATGAAGTTTTGGTGCTTTTTTTTTTTTTATTTTACCTGATCGACGTTTAGATAGTTTTTCTTCGACGATTGTTTCAGCCGTTGAAGTTACTATTGGTGGCATTGTATTTGTATCATTACTTTGATCCTAAAAGATAATTCATAAAAAAAAAATAATTAAGCTTGTTAGTGTTACATATGGAATTCATATATGTTCTCGAGCATCATTGTAATAATGTCCATATCAGAAAAACAAGGTGGATGGAAATTTTTTTAATAGTTTTTGATGGAAACAAGACGCGGAGCTGTGGTTTTCATTTTTAGAAAGAGAAGATGAAGACGCATTGAGTCATATATTTCAAGTTTTTTTGACCTGGTTTTTTAAAATGCTCTAGAGATCTTTTTAAAACGCAATGCACTCTATGAGATGACTAGAGTAAATTTTTAATTATCAGGTGTGCATTCGAACTGCCAATGACGGATATAAAAAACTATGCATCTCTCAAGTTTAGTTATTTAAGAGACATTGGTATTCTAGCCGAAATTCCCAGTGATTCATGTGAAAAAAAAAAAGTACACTTCAGTTTTTTCTTATGTTAAAAGAAACCATTTTTCCGACACTTTTTAATGAATTTGATTAACAAAGCTCCAGGAAGCCTATTAGGAGAATCTATAACATATATTTTGATGCAGCTTTATCTTCTCTTTTCAATGGTGAAAACCGCAGTACTCTATCTTATTTCTATCAAAAGTTACTCAAAGAACACCTACACATCTTCTGTTTTTGAAATAGACATTAATACAGAATACGTAAAGTGAAAAGTTTCTAACTAGTTGACTATAGCTGTTTTTTCAAGGACGATCAATTGCTAGGGAAATGATCTATCGTATTTATTTCTTATTGCTTTTCATTTTTGTATTCCGCTTTTTTAAAAATTTATCATTATTATTATTATACTAACAATTGATTTAGTTGACAAATAAGCCTGTTGTTGTAAGCAGATCTCAATAAACAATGATATATCTTGATAAGTTCAGAAACACTAATATAGATTATTTCGCAAAATTATAACTTGATTAGTTCACATTTTTTACGTTGATCATATCACTATTTAAATTATTCAAAAACATAGTCTAGCAATTCAAATTTTGTAGAAAAGTCTAAATTTTATTGTTAAAGCCGTTTTCCGTTGTTAGGGCATTGTGGAAAATGAGTCTGACGTTTGTTGTGTCCTTGGTTGCTATGGAAACATACCTAGTGATCGTTTGCTCTCGCTACCTGCGTTGTTATGTGATAAGATGGGTGGAAGTCCAAAGACTTCAACTTAAAACTTACTTGATTACTTTCTGTTGGAATACTTGGATCTTCTTCATCAGCATCATCATAAAGTGAAGAAATCGATGGTGCTGGTGGAGGTGGTGGTGTTGGTGCTGCTGTTATTGTTCCTGTCGTTATTTGTACTGTTTGTTCTTCCATAAAAGTAGTTGATGAAGTTAATTCATCTGTTGATGTTGGTTGTGGTTCATCAAGTTCATCAAGTTCCATATCTTCATGTTCACCAATACGATCTTGTAAATGTGTTGCTGTATTTGATGATTCTTCATCTTCTTCAGGATCATAGAGTGGTAGAGGTGGTGGTGGTGGTGATCGAGCTATTTAAATGGAAAAAATTGAATTGGTTTTCGCTTTGATGGAAAAATCTAAAATAATTAATTTTACCTGGTGATGTTGAAGGTGGTAATGGTACAGATTTTGATAATTCAATTTTAATCTGTTTTCGTTCGGGTAGTTCACGCGGTTTAACAGTTTGTAATGATACAAAAACATGTTCATCTTCTGGATTTGGTGGTGTAGGTAAACGTTTTCGTGCTGGTGGAGTTGAAATATGTTCATGTCGTCCAGATTTTGCTTCTCTATACACACATATATATATATATATAGAAAAATGATAAATAGTATAAAATAAGATCACTTACGATCCAGTTGAACTACTTGATGATGAACCTGAGGATGATGAGGACGAGGAAGATGAGGAAGACGTTGATGATGATGAGGATGAACGTGATGATGAACCCGACGAAGATGAATTTGATGAAGAACTCGATGATCGTTTTCGATCTTTTGGACGATTCGATGCTTTTGATGGCGATGTACGAGTATTTTTATCCCGAGACGAACGATGATGATCACGATCATCATTTCGTCGACGATCTCTTTCATGATAATCACGATCACGACCTAAAAAAGCAAATTATAAATCAAAATTTTGCTTGATATATTTGTTTAAAAATATGTTTACCTCGATATCGATCAACTCGATCATAATATCGATTTCGAGATGATGCTGGTGGTGAATATCGTCGACGATGACTAGTATTATATCGATCGTCATAATTTCGAGGACGATAATAATCATTTCTTTCACCATAATTACGATAACGATTTTGCGAAGATGAATAATGTCGATCACGACTAGATGTGCGACGACGACGATCACGATCACGATCACGTTCGCGATCACGTTCACGTTCACGATTCCGTTCACGGTCACGTTCATGACTGGATGTTTGTCGTTGTCGACGTTCTCGATTTGAAGAATCTTTTTCTTTTCGACTATGGCTCGATGATGATTGTTCGGTTTGTGAAATTGTTTTATCTTGTTGTTTATCTGTTGGTACCGATGATGACGATCGGTTTTCATTAGACTTTTCAATATTTGATGCAGTTTCGACAGACGTATTTACTATTGGACTAGGTGCTTTCTCTTTTGGTGAACTATAAATATAGATTAGAGTAAAATAAAACAAAACAAAAAACATTGCATTTTGTGAAACACCATTTAAACCGAATGTTAAAGTATAGAGGTAAAAATTTAGATCTCTTATACATGATAGTCAGAGATCATCGTAGATCGTAACAGAAACGGACGAAGGAAGGCTAATCCAACGTTTGACTACCTTATGATATGGGGTACTGCCTAGCAACAGATGTATTAGCACGATATCTTCCCTAAAACTAATGCTAGCTGAAGTTCTGAACAGAAAGCCGATCTGACACAGAGTTCTAGCGTTAAATCACTAAAGCTATCCGTACATACTGACTAACTACATACGAGCCACGAGTGTAGGTATATGTTACAAAATAGTCAGCATGCTGTCGAATGGATGACCTGAGACGAATAGCTGTTATCAACATATTCAGGGTCATGTCTGTTGGTATCAAGGTTTGAAGACAGTGTCTATGGATATATGTCAAAACATGTAGTCACTGAGTCATGATGATCGATCATGATAGACATTGTTGACATACGATTACAAATCATATATCAATAACATCTTGTCATAATACATCAACTACTTCCTTATTCGATTTCTGAAAGATTAAGTAAAAGAATGGAGGATGAAACGTTTCCAACAATAGATAGAATAAAGCAATTTCTCTATGATTAGCAAGAGTAAGTACATCGTATTTCATATGTTAATTCCGCAGGGATTGTGTTGTTAACTCTTTCTTTTATAGAAAATAATGTAACTTACGGTTCTGATTGAGTTTGATTTTGCTTGATTGAATCGGTAGTAATTTCATCATCATTATCATCATCATCATCGTCCCATTTTGATTTACTAACAGTTGTTTCTCTTTCTGTTACTATTATTTCTGTTGATTGTTGTGGAATGTCATTCGATTGTGTTATTGATTCAATTTCTACTATACTTGTTTGTGCAATCATAAGTAATTCATCTTCAAGATTAGTATGTTGTATTGTTGTTTGTCTTTCATTAAATTCTTCTTGCTTGTCCCAGCGATTACGTCGTTTTCCAGACGAAGATGCTGATGATTGGGATGGTGGTGATGAACTAGAGTGTACTGCTGATAAAACATTAGTCGTGTCTCCTTGTTGATCAGTTTTAGATGATGATACTGTAGAATCTGCAAATGATTCATTTTTATTATCATTCTGTGGTGATCGATTACGAGATGATGATGGTGGTGTTTGAGAACGACGACGACGATTCGTATGAGATTCGTCATGATCACGTCTAGGACGTACTGGTGAAGAATTATTTTGAACTAAAGATTAAAAACAAAAACAATGATATACATATAGGACAAATAAAAAGATTTATTTAAAAAAAAAGTATTTACCATGTTTATCATTTGATTTTTCATTTTCATCATGTTTATTATTTGTTGATCGATGATGTTTTGGTTCATTACGATGTTCACGTCGTTGGCGTGTTGGTGATGAACGTCGTTGTTCACGTTCTTTAGGTTCAGCTCGAACAATACTACTTTGTATAGTTGGTTGTGATTGTTGTATTTGTTGATCATTATCATCATCAATATGTTCTCGTCGTTTTTCATAACGACGTGAACGTTTATTTGAATCTTTTGATATTTGTTCGTCATTATTAGTAGTTGTATTTTCTTGATCATCACTGGTATCACCATTTTTTAAATATGAACGAGTACGTTTTGAATTTTCACGTGTATTCAATTGTTCAGATGATTGTGTTAATGTATCTGTATTTTCATTTTGATTTGTTTGTTCAGCAGATGTTTGTTTACGTGATTCATTCATTTCAACAAAACGTTTGCGTTCTTCAGCTGCTGAACGCCAATGTGGGGGTGTACGTGATCTTGAACGACTTTTCCCAGTATATCTCTAAAATAGAATTTATTTTATAAAAATTAACAAAAAAAAAAAACAAATTAATATTACCATTGTACCACGACCTTTTACTGGACGGCCATTCGAATCAACTTTTGTTGCTGCACGATAACTATTTGTTCTAAAAATTAAAATTTTCATTAATTCTAAAGAGTTCTTTACATTGTTAAAATATTCATCTGTTCTTATATAAAATATTAATAAATGTTGTATTTTTCGAAAACTTATTTCTACACTTTCCATATATGATGGCTATCAAGATTGCTCAACAAAGTTTATATTGAATTTTTTTCTGCTATCTTAATCGCTAAGAATATCTGTTCTTGATGCGAAAAAAGTGAGGTGTTGGTTTTTTAGAAGCCTCATATTTAGCAATCATTCTTATTTCTTTATATTCTTATTAGGAACAAGATTCTCTATTAGTATTATTATATCGATTCTTTTATCGACCAAGACAACGAAAAAAATCATGAAATATAAATCTTGTTAAACAATTTTGATAACTATTGTATGTGAATCATTTGAGGCAAAAAAAATGGAACATACACACCTTTCATTTGATTGTGATCTATTAAAAGGTCTATTTTTTGAATAAGTTCTTTGACTATAGACATAAGTGAAAATGTTGATTATAAATTCAAAAAGTAATTACCAAATATCTCTCTAATTGTATAAGAAAAACTTCATAGTACATTCTACGACAAAAACTGCATCTATAGGGAAATGTTTAAAAAGGTCTAACTTCAGAAAACTTCTTAAAGATTGATTTTGAGAAAGCAGCTGTTTGTTTGAAATTAAATTTTGAACTGCTTATTTGACTATCAGGACATTTTATTTATTTAAATATCCGTACTCCGTCACGTCAATTACAAATGACTTAACCCATATGTCTGTAGGTTATAAGACAATGTTATTAAATTTAATGAAGACATTCTTGTATATTATCTGTTTATGTATATTTATTGAATCATTGAACAAAACTTTCTTTCTGAAAATTAATTTTATGTAATATGATGGTATTAGATGATTGAAAAATTTAACACATAACATATATAGGTAGACTAAATATTCTAACAAAGCTCTCTTGAACTATTCGCTAAGAGAACTTAATTATCTTGTCTCAATCAGCTAAAACGATCAGATTATGTTTTACTTCGAATATAATTTAGCTGTAATTACTTTTTCGTACAATTACGACCAAGAATGTCAGGTTTATGTTTACCATAGAAATAACGATTAACTCTGAATTGAAATGTATCTATTAAACATTTTTTATTGCTATAATAAAGAAATCTTTCGTAAGAACTGTCGTCAAAAATGTAATACTCAAATCCAAATTGTTTGGGTTTGGTGCGTGTCTAGCAGAGATGTCGATAGAGCAGGAGGCCTTTATGCTCTGCAAAAGAATCATTCAAATAAATTTCCTGTACTTTTCAAATATGCTCGATCTATTCTATATAAGCTTTCCATAACAACTAACATAGAAAAAGAATTTTCTATTATTGGTTGAATCTTAAATGAGAATAAGAGCAAATCTTCAATCACATGAATTAGAAAACATTTTATCAGTATGATTAATAGAAAAACTTTGGTATAAAAAAATTATATCTTTTTCTTGCTGGCTTGTTTCTTAATTATGTATTTTATTAGATGAACTATGAGTTAGTATTATAGTAAAGTGGGTTTAAATGAAACAATGTTTTATGTAGAAATACAATTACACGATTCTGCTTTTGAACTCGATCAAATATTGTAATCAAGATAGTGTATCAGTTCATCAGGGTACTTTGCCCTGACCCCATGCACCGAACAGGATAGGGCAGGGCAGAGTGCGAAAAAATCATCCTGTGAACACCTCTGATGTCCTATTCAATACTCGTTGACATCGCATACGACGAAGACTATGAAGCAAAACATATTGATCAAATGAAGACAAGAATTACGAAACATCAATCTAAAACTTGTCAAAAAAAAACATGTTTTCGACTTCTGAAAAATTGCCGATAAAGAACCTTATGCAGTTTGTTCTTCTTAATATTTGAAACGTTACTATTTATGCTTTTGTTTGATATTAAAAAAAAAATGAAAGCTATATGTTGAAATAACAGACTAAAGAAAATTTTGTGCCAAGATATTTTACATCCGCGCTAGTCGACATGTCCATATCTATTTATCTAAAAAATCACTTGTTTTTGACGAAAAATCGAGTTTTCTGAGGAGCAAGAGACATGTGGTGCTCTTAATATATGATAAACAATTCGTTTCATACCGAGATGTTCTTTCACTATTGATTGTTTCATCATTGTTAGTTTTTTCTTTATCATTTAATGAAGATCGTGTAGGCAATTTTTGTTCGGATATTTCATCTGAATCAACATTTGATTTAAGATTAGTAATATCTCGTTTAGATATTTCATTGGTATTATTATCAACATCATTTTTATTTTCACCAATTTTTGTTGCTAAACGTTTTGTATCTTTTTTTCGTCGATGTTTTTCTTTTTTTTTACTTTTTTTATTATGTTTGGACTTTTTTTTCTTTTCATCATTATCTGATGTTGAACTACTTTCATCATCATCATTATTATTTTCTTCGACATTTTCATTTTCACTTTCATCTCCAGTTGAAATTTTACGTTTCTTTGATTTATTACTTTCTAAATAGTAAAACAAAACATTATTATTATTAGATAATTTTTTTCAATATATATGTATTAATAAACATACTTGTTACAATTTCTAATTCACCACAATGAGCTATAATAGCGTCTTTTAATGGACGATTAGTATTTGAATCAACAGGAAGATTTTCAATAGTCTCGACAACTGTTTGACCAGAAACAACATGGCCAAAAATAACGTGTTTACTAAAAAAAAATTCATATTTTTTAATTATCGAATAACGAACATCAAAGAAATACAAGTATGGGTGATGCACAAGGTTAAAATATTATCACCTAATTCATCCCATTACTGATTGCAAAGTAATAGGTAAATTTGTTTTGTCTGTATTCACACATTTGAATTATGAATTTTAAAAAACAGACTAAATAGTAAATATTTTTAAGAAGACAACCACAAATATCAAGGTCACTTTTACTGACAAGGAAACAGCTAAGAAGATTAACCATGATGTCTTATCTTTACATGCTGATTAATCACACTTTAATATATTTAATAAAAGTCGTCAAGTCTCATATTGTCAATCTTAAGGAGATAGAATTTAATGAAGAATTACGCTATTGGTTCTGATGTAGTGGTAAACTATGGAGATTGCTTGTATACGGTAAGAGTCTATAATGTCGGTTGTGTTACTTAAGGCATCGTCCTCAAAAATCGACCTTGAACCAGGTGCATTCAAATCTCATGAAACTTTCAGGATATCTTGAGGCTGTTGTGGAGAGGCTACGTTAAGAATTGAATTTTAGTTCTATATGATAAAGTTTTCAGAAGGTATTCAATAAACAAGAGTCAAAAAACAACATAACAATTCTCTGTAAACTCTCATTCGATAGATTTTTTTCTAATTTAAAAGAGTATGTCAGACTGTAGTGTTTTTCTGTTTTTAAATTTTTACTTTTTATGAGAAGAAAAAAGAACTTGTTTAATGCCATGGAAAAAATTCATCTATTTATAGAAGTGCTTTTAAATTATAACTGAAAAACTTAATTCAAAACATAGATACTCCAGGTCCACATGATCTTTCAAAAAAAAAACACCATTTACTACAATTAAGTTTCTTCGAGCAGAAGATGATAGAAATTATCGAAAAGAAAAAATACCAAATACAAAAAAAAACACGTCGTTTATGAAAGATTAGAACTCAAGTAATCATCTCAATTTCAATTTTTCTAACGAAAATTGATCTTTTTTTTTTTTTCTAGTGGAGAGGAGCCTTGAATTACATGAACGACAGAGTCGTACTCAATATATACAAATACTGGATGAAGTAGTCTTACTTTAGTATAAACAGAAGGCATGGAAATTTTGTCGGGAAGCACTTGCTATCCCTTGTAGGACTAGTACGATGCCCATAAATAAAATGAATTTAAATGTATGATTATAATCATACGTGTATTTTTTATAATCTATTCTAAATGTCTTTGAGCATATCGCCTGAACTATGGAAATATGTTATGTTATGTTTTTTTTTTCTTTCATTTTATAATTATGAAAATGAGACGAGAAAATTGATTTTACCTAGATAATTATATTGATTAAACGGATGTCTTATGAAAAAAATATAGTCTAATGGAGCTATTTAATATAATTTAGATGGTAGTAGACTTTTTTGACTTCGGTTTTTTTCTGTCATGTCATATTTTGTTTTTTTTCTTTTGATCTGATTTTCGCACGAATTAAGACGTAAAGATCAATAGAAATGTATTGTTTACCGGTGAATAGTACTTTATTTTTATCCAATCAACGGATACTTGATGGGATTCAATTCAAACAATGAAACCAATTCGAATTTCAAAATTTACATAATTATTGGTTCGAGTTTCTATTAGAAATCTTCATATATATATATATTCTAAGTTACTAATGCTTTATCTCTTATTACGTTTATTTACTAATCTGTATGGTGTTATGATTCATTTATCGTTAGTGATGATACTTCCTTTATTTACTCATTATTAATGACATAGATTTTTGCCCTCTGCTGTACTCTTTGACTAATCTTTATTAAGTCATGTGTTCGTTCACATATTTGTTGTTCTTTCTTTTTTTTTTGCTTTTCTTTATTGATTGTCATTCTTTTTTGCTCATCATTTATTCAATACATTGGTCGATCTTCATTCATCATGTGTCATCTGAAAAATGCCAGCTTGGATAACATTCAGTTGCATGTTAATAGAATGAAGTTCGTCTTTTTGAATAATAACTTCTCTTCCGGTTTAGTAAAAAAAAAATTTTTATACGGAATAGACTCATATATCAGGTGACACTATGTACTGAAATATGGGATTATTAATGCTTGAACATACAGTTCATTTGAAAGAGTTCCGAGAGAATTGACTGTTTTCGATCGTTACGAGAAGAAACTTCAGAAAAAAAAAAGACTCGTATCAATCAAAAACCTAATAAGACTCTCAAAATATATTCATATGTTTACTGATAAACTCTTATATTCAAAAAAAAACTAACTTCTGAAACAATCTGTTATTCTTCGACTCATAAACTTTATATATTTCTACTTTATTATTTATTTTTTAAACTAATTCAAAAATAATAATATTTACCCATCAAGATGTGATGCTTCAGCTGTCGTTCTAAAATATAAAGAAAATATTTTAAATATTAAATAAAATTAAAAGTTCTATTTCTTTTTACATAAAAAATTGTGATCCATTTGTATTCGGTCCTCGATTAGCCATTGAAAGAAGATAGGGTCGATCATGTTTCATTTGTAAATTTTCATCTTAAAAAAAGAAAAATCTAATTTTTCTTTTTTTAATTATTAAATCAACAAACATACCATCAAATGAACCACCATAGATTGATTCACCGCCGGTGCCGTTGCCTGGAATTGAAAGACCACATAGACAGAAAAATTCGATTATTATTAACACAGATCATCTTAGATATTTATCAACACTCGACTAAAAGAGATAAAATATAATGCAAGTGATGGCCTCATATGTATCTTTTGCCTGCCATCACTCGTCATTTGTGTATACACACAGAAAAGATGAACCGAAAGTTTACTTGAAAATCAATCTTGCTGATCAATGCAACAAAGAAAATATATATATATATATACATACATTATGAAATTTAAAATCAAAAAAAAGAAGAATGCCAAAATCCTCGTATTAAAAGTTATATTCCACTTTACCTTCAGTAAAATCACCCGATTGTATCATAAAATTTTTAACAACACGATGAAATAAACATCCTTTATAATACAATTTTTTGTACAATGTTAAACTACGACCTTTTTCTCCTAGAATAAATATATAGTTTTTTATTTAAAAAAAACAAAATTATAAAATTTTTTTTCTTTATTACCTGTACATAAACAACGAAAATTTTCACATGTACGTGGACATATATCATTATATAATTCAAATACAATTCGACCAGCTATAAACATAAACAAAAATAACAAAGTATAATAATAAAATTTTTCATGTAAAAATAAATTTAACCTTCATTTCCATCAAGTTTAATATCAAAAAAACATCGTATTCTCGACGTCATATCTAGAATGTAGGACATATTATTTGTATTTCCGACGTAATTTTGTTTCAGAAATAACAGTAAACATGCTAGAATAGCATAAGACAAAAGAAGAAAAACAAACAACGAGTTCTTTTCCATTGGTTGAAAATTTAAACCAATGATTAAAACAATAATTATTTTTATCAGTTTTATTTTTGAATTTAAATAGACAAGTTTTGTTTTTTAAAAAAAAATGTTTTTTTTTCTTTTAATAAAAATAAATTATTTGTCTTTTTGATCGATGGTAGCGATACATTTGAAACAATAGAGCGCGATTAAACCTTTGTATAGACAAAAAAAAATCTGTACTCGTCTACGGTTATTATTTTCTAATAAAGATCATGGGCGCAACAAGTTCGAATACGAAACGTTATTCAAATCAATTAAATTCAAATATTTATAGTACACCACCAAAAGTAAATAATAATAATAGTACTCATAATCGTCTTGTCCAGCTTCAATGTGATCCGCGTTCGCCCACTGGTAAAAGAACTTTATTTTGGAAGAAAATTTTAATAATTGTCCTCTTTTAAGATGGAATTTGTCGAACTCCAATTCAAATCGATAGTCAATTACCAGTTCCATCTGTTAAATTATATAATCATGTTTTGCCTCATATTGTTGGTCCAGATATAATTATATCTGATGCTAACAATGAAGACAATCAAGAAAATGAAATACGTCATCGATCACAAAAACTTGATGTTGTTAGACATGATTGTAAACGTTCAAGTGATATTGAACCAACTTTAGATCCAAGTGAAGTATTAACTGCATTGATGGCTAATAATAATGGACAATTACCACCATATCAATTATAATTTTCTTATTCTGTGTGTGTATGATGCAGTCAGTGTTACATGTGGGTATTTATATGTAATCGATCTTTTTTTTTCTTTCGGATTATTTCATTTATTATTATTATTTTTTCTCTTTTTCTGTCTTGTCTGATTAATAATAAAATAACGATTATAGAAATGAAATAGTATAACATACGAAGTTTAGTATATTCTACAATATATGTTTGTTAGGGATTGGAAGAAGGAGTAAGCTAAGAATAAAATCCACTGTCACTAGAGTCCTACAACATGATTAGCTATCAAGTCATCCCTCTGTCAATGCTATTCATCTCGGCACGACGTTATCTGCTTATTTGTATTCCAGTTTCTGTCTAAAATCATCATGAAGCTGTAAAAATTGGCAAAAATTTGCATATTTTGCGGTCCATAATTCCCTTTACTCGAGAACCCTGCCATTTACAATTTTTCAAATATACTTAAAAGGTTAATGATTTTTATCCTGCGGGACAAACTTCGTTCGACTTTAAAATACTCTTTGTTGCATCACGTTTTACTTTCAGAATGATGCGCAGGACTCTAGTGATGTGGAAACAAGATGACAATGGTAACAACGGGTTAGTTTTTATATTAAGTATCACGATCAAACAAGGACTGAAGCAGAAGAATGAATAGTCAACTTCATTACTCTTTCAACTATATTTGCAACATTATAGATAGACTCATTTTAACTTTGTTTGAAAGATGGCTACGTACGTGAAAACGAAGAAAAATTGACAAATGACTCGAACGAAAAATATCTTGGAACAAGATACGAGCCGCATCCATAAAATCATTTCTTTAACTAAAAAAGTTTCACCATCAATTTATTGTTTTTTTTTTAATAAGAGAAAAATATGATGTACAACTTCTACAAAATCTACATCATAGAAAAATTGACGTATCCAGTATAATGCATAGGAATCTACAAGTTTTTAGATATTTAAAAATAAGCTCAACCAAAAAAGTTGATTAATTATTTTTATTACTTCGTGTTAAAAGAAAATTTTTAACAATATTATCATTGATGCTTTGTTAAATAAAAAAACATTCCAGCAAGATTAAAATATACAAAGTAAAAAAAAAAAACAAACAAGAACAATGTACTTTATGGATGTGCCGGAGCTTCACCATAATTATCACTTAGAAAATCTTTAATTTTTTCGTATGATGATAATGTTAATACTGCTGCAGGTACTGTTCGTAATAGAGCAGGTACAATACCACGATAAAATCCTCGTATACCTTCTTCTCTAGCAATTGTTTTAACTGCATCACGTACATTTTTATATACATGAAAATTTACATTCGGATTTGAAGATTGTTGTTGTAAACGTCGAGCATGACCTGCATCTTGAAGACGACTACGAACTATTTCATGTGGATATGCAGTCACAGATGCTATTAATTTTGAAACACTGGATGCAAACATAATTTTTCCTGTCGATAAATGACTATCAGAAGGTGAATTAGTTGCACATCTCTGTTTAAGATATTCATACAATGGAAATTGAATACCAACATGGATCTATATTAATAAAACAAATTCAAACATTAAGTGTTGATTCAAGCTCAATAATACGAAAGATAAACTAACATATTTACACAAATTGAAAAATCTTTTCTCTTTAGTTCTAAATTAGATAGACATTAGATTTGTCATGGGCGACCGGTGTACCAGTACTGTAAGAGGTAGCAATCACTTCTCCGAATTTTCTACGCCTTCTGTTTAGACTCGAGTAAAACTACTTAATCCAACATGTATATGTTATCAATGCGACTTTGTAGACCAAATAGAAGGATTAAATCATAGTCTCATGTTTTATTTAGTCTCTTGAGGACGGGAGACGTATATATACGTTCGGTGTCAAATCAGCTTCTAATTACTTTGCGCATATCTTCTTTGATACTGTCGTGATCTACGGTAGTATTAGTCTCAAGATTATCAAGCTCTAAAATATTTTTAAACAATTTTTGATAATGATCTGAATACATATATGTCCTATTAAAGTTTCGAAAATTTTTGTTTTCTTAAAAGTAATTCCGTTCTCAAGAAGTCAAGTAAAACATAATCGATAGCTTGATTATTCTGCCATAATAAATGGTCTTCGAAGTTTACCACTGGATCACAGTCAATAGCCTAATCATAAATCAGCTCTAATCTGTCTTCGACTAACTTATTATATAATGCTCAACGACTTTGACCAAAAGATATATATTTTGATTAATCAACATTAAATGGTTAAAACGCAACGAAGAATCTTCTTTGATATTTCGCTATCAATCAATGGAACCTTGACATTGGCACTTTTTCTTTTTAATAAAACTTAAAAAAATCTCTGAAAAAGAAATCGAACCTGCCTATCACTTCGCAATCAGAGAAGGGATCAAATAGCTGCCAATATTAAATAATTCGAAGAACAGCATCCCCATCTTCCCAGCTGATGATAAAAAAAGTTTGAGTTTTTCTAAATTCTTTTGAGTAAATTGTATTTTTGAATAAAAATTCTTACACTAATTTGAAACTCGTCATGTAACGTCATGCGATTTAATACTCAGACATCCATGTATGATGCATTTGAAAGAAATTAAATTCATATGTCAAAGATTTTGCTACTTAAATATTTACTATTGTGGGAAGAGGAGACAAAATAGATCCATTCAAAACCCTATGGCTTCTCCTACAACATTGATCTTGTGTCACCCGCCCATGAGACTTGTTGTATATAGTCTGTAAGAATTTAAATCAATTTTACCAAACCCCACATTGATGGTATAACACCACGATATAATGCACGAAGTCCTTCTGTTTTATAAATTTTAATTGCTGCATGAAATGAATTTCTATAATCTTCATGATTTGATTGTGTCATCATACGTGTACGAATAGTCCATATGGGTGCCATAAATGTATTTGATATTCCACCAGCAGTAACAGATGATAGTAGATTAATTAACATATCATGTTCAGAATGAATTTTTGTTAAACTTTTTGCATATTGTTTTTTTGACCATTGATATATATTGAAATAGATTGCCCAATTAGGTACATAACCCTAGAACTTGAATAAAATAATCATTTTCAATAACAAACAAATCATTATCTTACCAACATTGTTGTTCCTAAACCTTTGAAAAATGCTCGTAAACCTTCTCGTTGTGCTAATCTATACATTGTAAGTATTAATGGTGTATCAGGTACACCTTTTGGTAAACGTTTGACTTGAATACGTGTTTTAATCACATCAAGTGGACTAACAAGAATACTAACAAATACACCAGATGCTGCACCAGCAAGAGTATTTATTTGTGAATCATGTAAAAATACATGTGATTTTCGTTCTTGCTTATTCATTTTATATTTCTGAAATAAGGAATTGATCTTTTTCTTTTTGTTTTTATTTAGTTTTAGGCATGTTTAAAGACTTGAAGTCAACATTTAATGATATAAAAAAAAAGACAGAAAGAAAATGTAATCATAATAAGAAGAGAACATTCGATCGATTCGTTCGTCAGCTTGTTTGAAAAAAAAAAAGAAAACACAAGAGTCGATCATTATTTAATGATCTGAAAGAATTTCTCGACGAATTGATTTCACATATTGTGATGGGCACCAATAGATCCAAATAATTGAATTTTCTCTTTGATAAAAAAAAAAAATTTCCAAAACTTTTTCTGCATAATTATAAAAAATAAAATCAACTTACGTTGTACCAGTTTGAAATCCAACAATTGAATAACCATCATGACCTTCAATTGGTTCATCAATAATATTTCTTATTTGTGTCATTGGTATTTTTTTGGTTGTTTCCGCTTATTTAAAAAAAAAATATTTCTCAGAAATGAAAAGCGAAAATATGTTCTATTCTTACCTGTATTAATCCATAATTCATCAAGTTCAAGTTTAAATGTTAATCGTGCTTTTTTAGCTGCATGATTTAACATTGACATATATAAACCATCAATTGATTGAGGTAATGGATCATGTTTATTTCGAATACCTATTTGAGCATTATCCGGTTTACCTAAAAAATAATACATATTGTTTGTTTCAATTTTATTTTTAGTTTTTAGGTTTACGAACCTGTTTTTAATACTTTTTCATGTTTTGTTTGTTTACATAATGGTTCTTTTTTATTTGTTGATGCTTGATCATTTGTTGGTTCTTTCTGTTCAGTTGAATTAACACTACCACGACTAGTTGATAAAACTTCAGATCTTGTTGCACCGACTAATAATAATGTTTGTCCATTAGTTATATTTAAATCTTTTAATGTTGTTGTTGCATCATCACGTTTAACACTTGTTATTGATTTATTAACTAATTTCTGTACTTGAGGATCAACATCGGTTAATTTATCAATTTTTTCTTTAACATCTTTTAATGTATCATATAAATCACATTCAATTAGAAATGTTTGATTTCTATAACGAATATTAAGTGTTATTGGTACTTTTGATGTACTATGTTTTAAAATTGGTTGATCACCAATTTCATTAGAAACAGGATTATTATGATTTTCGGAAGCATCTATTGATATGTCATCATCCATTATAAATTTTAGTTTTGTTTTTTCAATTAAATTAATAATAATTAACAAAGATTTTTCAAAATATTTTGTAATCTAAAACAAAAAGAAAAACAAGAAAAATTCCATAAATATAGATCGTTCTTCAACATAAATGCATTCTCGTATGTTTACGTGATGGTATGCACTTTTAAGTTGATGAAAGGACATAAGTGTATTATCAGTTATCATCACTTATGATATTCTGCATTAGAAATGAACTTGGCTACCAGAACACGTATTTTTCATTTATATGATTAGACCAATAAGTTTTTTATCTAAATATTGAGAGTACTCTTATACAACTATCATGGCTGAACAACTAACCAATCAAATGCTTTGTTAGTCGTCTTGTATGTGCTCGACGGGTAAACTTTTTGATTTATGTAGACATGAAACAATAAAAATCCTTGATTTTAGTGACAATCAAAATTTTTCGTTTTTTTTTTTAAAGTTTTATTGTATTCTAGAGGATGAAATGCTCGCTCAAATTTTACATGATCTATATGTTCCACGAGAACTACTTAATGGTTTACCTGAAGAACAAAAACAATTACTTTTTTGTAAAATGCGTGAAGAACAAGTTCGAAGATATCATGAACGAGAAGAAGAAATAGAAGAAGAAGATGCAGAAGTAATAACAATAACATCAGGTAGAAATATTTATTTATTTAATGATAATGAAATGATTTCGTTTTTTTTTTTTTGTTATTAGTAAATACAAAGAAAAAAAAGAAGCATGTCACATTTCGACTTAATGCTGATGGAAATGAATATTGTTGGATTATGGGAGAATCAAAAATATTATCGAATAATATTAATGAACAACTAGATAACACGTAGATTTGTTTTTATAAGCATTTCACTTTTAAATTTCTTTTTTTGCATAGAATTAACAACGAAAATATTATAAATGATCATCAAAATCATTTAAGGTTAGGCCGTATCTTTAAAATATATTATAAATTTAGAATTCTTTACATGATTCTTTTTACTTACTAACATAACTGATCTTTGTAGGACTATTGCTGATGCTGATCATTCTCCTCCAACTATATCTGAACGGTTTTATACGGTACATCGTGATGAGTAAGTTATATAGATTAATATTTACTTCATATTTTATTCATTGTTATAACAAAGAAAAACAGAATAGAAAATAAACAAAGAAAGAGAAAATTGTTAGTTTATTATATTTTATCCTCCTATGATAATAGATACGACGTATTTCTAGACAATACACATCGAACAACATTTTCTCTTATGTAAGCTACGCATGTTGAAATTCAATGTGAATCAGCTTTTTATTGCTTTTTTGAAGCTTTAAAATTATGACAAATAATCTCATGATATTGTTTTCGATTATAATTAAGTTTTATTCCTTTTTTTTTTTTTATAGACGAAAACAAATTGAAGAAATATCGAATAATATACAAGAAGCACGTCGTATATTTGAATGTTTAGAATCAGAGACACGAAGACTTGTTTTGGTATGAACATTTTTTTTTTATTCTTATTTTTTAAAATTTTTTTTATTATTTTTCTTCATTTTGATTTATAGAATAAAGGAAATGAAGTCTTACAACAACAACAACAACAACAATCTTATTTATCTACACAAATTCCTCAAATTGATACTGTTGATGAAATATTTTATCGTGAAATAGAAGAACGTGCAAAAAAAGCTGATCGAGAAAGACGTGAAACAGCACGACGTGCACGAGATAATTTTCGTCGAAATTCATCACAATTAAATGTTTGTTTTGATACAGATGATCAGACAACAATTTTTTTCCAACCATCACCGTTGAATTTATCAAATAAAACCAATCAAGAGAGCAAAAATGTGAAAAAAATTCCTATTGAATTTATAGAAAAGAATCTTCCAGTTTCTACAAATTTATCTATTAATAATTCAAAAACAGTAACAATCGAACAAGAACAATTTCCACTTTCTATTGTTGAACATCATCGATCGTAAGAAATAATTTTTTATAATAGATTGATGATGTTTTCTCGGTTCGACGATTTTCTTTGCTACATCGAGTTTTTGACGAAATTAGTTTTTAAACAATAAGCTGATACCTACATAAGCATTTGAGATGCTATACATAATTCCATATAACATTTTTTCAAAGATTTTTTTTTCTACAAAACAATCGATACTGTTAGTCAATTCGATCCAATAAGTCGACGACAAAAGTTTCGTCCGCTGACTATATCGTTTATTTTACGTTTTATAAGGGCATTAAAAAAAGATAATATTTTTATCATATTCAGCTTTTCTATTTCTTTAAGTTTTCTGTTTTAAATTGATTAAATACTAGAAACCATTAAAAAATTAGTCGATGAAAGCAGTCTTGCGAACGTTTTGCCGTTTCACCAAACTGTACCCCATAAGTTGGCATAAGCATGAAGACAAGATATTTCATGTGTAGGCGTTGGTTCCCCACGTTTCAACCAATCGATTTTACCTGTGTTACGCAATTGATTTGTGTCTCATCAATGAAAATCCATATTTTGAGGCCACTACTTTGATGCTTCACTGCAAATAATTGAAGTTTTTCGACTTGAGTTTGTATTCATTTGACTTCGGTTTGTGCTCGAATGCCGAACTTGTTAAAGATATAGTTCGAAAGTTTGATTAGAAGTTGCAGTTAGATTTTTTGAGATGTACTTGTCCAGTGACCGCTGTTGTTGTCCTCCAGTGAGGGAAAGTGGTCGACCTGATCTTTCCTGTTCAGTTAATAATCTTGTTGCATTCAAGCGAGCGATAGCACGACAAACAGTTCGGCAATCACAATCCAGTTGATGTGCTATTGTATTGAATGTCTTGTTTGGCTTTTGTGCTTCTTTCACCGCAAATAAACATTCCTCATGTGCCAAATTTCGAATTTTTTAATGGTTTCTAGTATTTAATCAATTTAAAACAAAAAACTTAAAGAAATAAAAAAGCTGAATATGAGTAACGAAGTATCTAAGACCAGTATATATGATAATAATATTATCTTTTTTTAATGTCCTTATAAAGCGTAAAATAAATGATATAGTCAGCGGGCGAAACTTTTGTCGTCGACTAAATGCATTTGTTTATATTGCCAAGAAGAATAATAGATTATGAAATTGTTACTTTGTAATAGATTGTGTTAGGACAAAATTAGTCTAACTCGACATAGTTCAATCCAAATTTGTCGGCGAGTTAGATTGAGTTTGAAGACTTATATCGTATCTTTGCACAGAGGCATATAAGATTCGTGTTTAGTGTCATTACTTTGTAAAACTAATAAAACAATAGATAATATTTTTTTGTTGTTATTTATTTTAGTAAACCTTTATTACCTTTAACACGTGAAGATATTCGTCAATGGTTTTGTATAAGTGAAATTCCTTATGGTACATTTCGTTCTCCAAATGGTCACATATATCCATGGTTTCATGGTAAATATAATTTTAATCAACATTCTTTTGAATTATTTCAATATTAATTCTCTTAGGAATTATTAGTCGATCTTATACAGAGCAACTTCTATGTTCAAAACCAATTGGTACTTATTTAATACGTATAAATGAAAAAATATTTGGTTATGCATTATCGTATCGTGGATCAGATCATTGTCGTCATTTACTTATTGAAGTTATTTCATCACCTAAACGTAATGATAATCGAACACAAAAATCGCCACCACTACAGCATGTCTACAGATTTTTAGGTGGTGCTAAAAATGAATTATTTCCACAATTAAATCAACTGATTGAAAAATATAGTGTATGTTTAATAATATTTTAGAAAAAATAAAAAAAATATTGGTTTTATAAATTTAGAATATTCCAATACGTTTGAATTCTACCGATGTTCTTCGTTATCCATGTGGTCAAATAGATGGTCAAAAGCCAGATTATGCTGATTTATTTATTGAAAATTTTAGTAACAAACAATATGAATCTGTGTATATGCCACTGAGAACAACGAAACCAATAGCTCAAACGAACACACATTTGTAGTCATATATAAAACCTAAATGTATTTCCAGTGTTCTTTTATTTCTTTCCATCTATCTTTTTAATTATTATGCAATGCGTATGTACTTTTCCCAGGCCAAAGAAAAAGACGCCGTTAGTGGTTGTAAACAATATAAAATGGCGACATATGGTGAAAACTAATGCAGTAATACTCCATTATCGACGATCGAAGTGATCGTCCTGTGCTATTATCTAAGTTCTGCTTGTTTTTCTGTACAAAGAAAGAAAATTATATATGTATATATATACATTCCATCGAGTTAATTCTTTTCGTCTATTGTTATATTGAAATTTGGTGCAATTTTTTCTCTCACTAACTTTTCTTTTAACTTATGCTTACAAGTGTTATTGAACACAAGCGAGTTTCAAAAGGTTACATCTAATATTTCTTTCTTTCTCTTCTTTTTTTATTCGTTATAAAACTGTAGAACAGTAGTTGTTTTCTTCTTATTGTTATTCAATGAATGTTATTTGAAGATTGTCAAAAACAAAATAATCAGAAAAACATTATTAATATTATTCCAATGACGTGCTAGATCTGTAACATATGTTTCAAAAACAGATTGTTCAATAGGAATCTTAAAATGGAAATGATTTTTTTATTTACTTGGTGATGAAAGATTATTATTTTCAAGAAGTAAAATTAATAAAGAAGGGTGTGGATGATGTGTTTGTGGGATGTAGGTGTGGGTGAATATGAGTCTGCTATGAATTCATATCTACACCGACATCAGCATTCACATCCAACCAACTCATATCCACAGTCATACCTACTCTCACTGCTGTTTATATTGCTAAGATGTATTTGAACAAGGCTCAAGATTTCCATGCATCTGTCGTCATCTAGGGTGTAGGATGCGAGGTTTGGGTGAGGATATGAGTGACGATTTGTGATGAGTGTAGGTAGGTAAACTTTAACAGAAGATACACATTCACACTCACAGTTACCGCTCGAACACCTCCACCAATAACCGCAATATCATGATGAAGGCTTCCCTTGGATGACGAGAGAAATATCTTCCATTTATGACGATCCATCTTTTCTTTTGTCTTCTATTTATCTGAATAAATAAAAAGTAGAACATGACAGCTTCGCCCTAATCGGAACTATTCGAAGCAATAGCATCTATCAGAATACTAATTCACCATTTACCGCCTGTGCACTCGAATTTACTCATGTCAGCAATGGAATCGAATGTTATACCGATATTTAATTACATATAACCGAGATACTCAATAATGCATGCATTGTGTTTTCAAAACATGAAGGATCTCCGATAGACTTCTCAAAATTCTTCAATTACGAGCACTGAAAATCACCTCGCTGAAGAGAGTAAAAAAAAGCTAAGATTCACAAAAGTTAGGCTTATCACAATGAGCACATCAGCCAGTGTGCAACTCACTTCAAAATCATATCACTAGAAAAATATTATGAGAACTAAAAGTACCATCTTATAGCATACAGCACCGATACACGACTGCAGTCAGCTATAATGTCGTCTATGCCTAAAAAAACCTATAAAAATTAATCCCAGGTCGAGCAATCACAGCGTAAGATCTTATCAGATCATAACTCTGATCTTCTATGATCTTATAAGATCCGATGAAAACCGTACAAAAAACGCAGTCTCAGAAATCTTACATAAGATCGTACTTTAAGATTCTTGAAAGATCTTGCTGTCGTGTACGATATTACTCTAACAAAGGAAAGGTGTGACCTGTTGAGCGAAAACCTTAGACATATTCGGGTCAAAAGAAAGCTTTCAACGAGAAACTAACAAATTTAAAATATGAGCTGCGTATGGCGTTCCTAGACAAAGATCCTTGAATCTCAAGATCTGTGAAATTTAGGTATAAAAATGAATCAAGAAAGGTTGTCTCCACTATTATAAGGACAAAACATAGCATTGTTCGGGCCGATTATGGGGTTTGTAGGGACCCTCTTTCATATGGCCCGAACAACACCATGTTTTGNCGTTCTCGCTCACGAAGAGCGACGAACACAGTTAACGTGTGTGTGTGTGTTTTATTCTCTCTGTTTGTTCTGTTAGAAAACAAACGTTTATATAAGCACGCGAAAACAAAGACAAGAAAATAGAGGAAAACGAAAAGACAAAAGAAAAGAGAATAGATAGAATCGAGGTATACGTTACAGTAGAACACACTGTAACACACACCCTCGAACATCAACACTTTGTTTTGATGATAGAATGATACTCATACAGGGTTTTTTCAAAGTTCCAACGCTGGCATGGTAAATAAATAAGTAATAGCTAGCTAGTATGCAAAATATTTTGAGAATTATACTGTAAGATTTGGTGAGCTTAACTGCAAATCAAATCACTGTTAGTTTTATAATGGATGTGTAAAGTGGCATGTAACTGTTGATATATAACTATTGTAATGTTGTAATAATTCTATGTATAATAGAAAACCAGTCATCATATAACACAATTCATGATGCGCACAAGAAGTAATCGTTTTATAAGCACTCAGATCTCAGAGCTTCAAAAGGCCAACCGCACTTCAATATCCAGATGCAAAGATGCGCCACTTATGTCATTAGAAGCAGCTGTAGAAAGTATAGTTCGATTTCATCGTGATGTCCTTCATGATGCTAAAAAAGCTAAAGATCTCTGCCGAAAAAATACTGTGTTATCAGCAAACGAATCGGCAGCAATTTATCTTTACACAATGAATACGCCTTTCAGTGGAGTTCTTAACCAAGCACTTCGAGCTGAAAACCCACAAGCACTGGAACCATGGTTCGCCTACTTGAAACTGCTTATCACCGCTCTTGAAAAGTTGCCATCGCGTCCAAGGATGGTATGGCGAGGTGTTATAGGCAATGTCGGTTCAGATTTTGAAAAGAATAGTATGCATACGTGGTGGAGTGTGAATTCATGTTCGTCGGAAATCAATGTGGCTGCATGCTTCGCAGGTCATATCGGCACCCTATTTTGCATTAATACCATTTATGGTAAAGATATTACTGCGTACTCTGTGAACCAAGAGGAGGAAGAAGTCATCCTTTTGCCTGGAACTTGTTTGTGCGTCCAATCCACATCGTTTGACATTAATGGTTTCTTTATAATTCATTTGAATGAATGGTAAGTATGTGTAAAGCAGCCTATCAAACCCGACGAATTTATCAGGTTATAAAGAAGCCCTTTGAACATTAAGATCTATGACTCAGTGCAGAATCAAATCGAGTCTTAGTATTCGATGTTGAAACACTGCAAAGATATTTGGAGTTGATCATGCTTCAAGGTAGCTGTGGCTGTGGGTTTAAGGATCTGAATATGTATGAAGCTTTTCTTCTCACCTACATTCATATTGACAACTAGACCCAAAGCAATTCTCACCAACCCTAGCCTCTCTTCATTGTACAATGAAAATTTTGCATATGACGAATTAATTTTGACAGTAGCTTAGTTTACTTCGAAACGTTTGGGAATGTTTTGTTTCATGGCATCTGTATAATCCGAGCGACGGTGTAATTATGAATATAGAAGTGAGGGACGCATACTAGCTATTTAATCCATAGCTACACCCACACTATGCCTTATTGGGACATACTCTCTGCAAAATTTGCCAGACACATCGTGAATCATAATTTGAAAATATGACAAGTTGCTACCGATGCAACAAGAAAAGGGTGTGGGTGTTGAAGAATAGAAGATCCACACCCACATCTACGCCCACATTCATACCCAGCAACATGCACACCTCAGCTCCATACCCTGAAATTTATCTAACTTGATTAAGAAACACTAGTGCAACTTTTAAGGAGGACGTCAGGAATCGAAAAGATAAGTAATTCACTTGTGTGTAAGTACTGATCGAGGTTATTTCCCGGTATTTACAAGCTTCTGCGTTTTCTCAAACAATTAGTGTCATCTTGTTTATATCCCTTCACGTAACTGCCATTTATAGATTTGATTAACGTGGACACATTGTTAAGTGCTTGAATATTACAGATAGATTTTTCGCAACTATGCATAAAATATTGAAGATTTTCGTATATTTACGTTGGCTTTTAAATGATGAAGCGTCCATAAAAACTAAGTAGAGTGTCTGGATCTATCATCGTACCATTTATTTTCGAAATTCAGTGTCTAGAACATCTTCTAACAGTTCTCACCATCAGAGTTCCATGTTTTCGCATTGAGTGGAGTACTTTATGGAAACAGTCATTATTGCTACCTGATAACTGCTCAGTAGGCTTAAATCTGAATTCTTCTAGTGATACGAAGAAAGTATCTGAATCGATACCGAATGGACACCATGTAATGCTGTCTTTTAACTGGCAAAGTCAATATATCGTTTCTAAAATCAATTATATCCTTAGACAGGATGATATTCCAGTTTGGTTCGATGCAAATGGTGACATAAAAGATAGCATGTACGAAAGGTATGTACATTCAAAATGATGATATGTTCTTTTCACCTTGTGCATGAAATCATATTTTGCTTAGTCTGGCTGATGGAGTAGAAAATGCTGTGGTGGTCTGCTGTTTCATGACGTCCGATTATGAAAAATCTGAAAACTGTAAACTTGAACTGAAATATGCACAAAAACGGCACAAACGAATTATAGTATGTATGCTTGGTGAAACAAATGATTGGACATCTACTGATTGGTTGGAGTCAATAATTAGAAAACATGAGTGCATAGATTTTCATGACATTTCCGAGTCTAGCATCCATTTGAAAGCCAGAAATCTAATTGATCAAATAAATGAACCATCTACGACGTCACAATACCCATCATTGCCGATTGACGAAGGAGCAAGTTATCTATTTGAATTGATTAAACATGAATACAAACGAAACAGTCGTATTAAACGTTTAATTAATCCAGCTAAATCTTTTCCAATTGAAGAAAGTTATATCAATTTGTCAATCGTCGAAGGCAAAGAACAAATAGAAAAAGAGAGAAAGCTTCATGATGCTAAGCACAATGATATGATCGTGAGTACTTTCGAAGAGATGTATGATACCAAGACGTCTATAGATGTCAAAGATATATTTAAAACATGTAAGGATCAGTCGAGAAAAGTACTTGTTTTTGGCCGAGCTGGAATTGGTAAGACTACGTTTTGTCGGTATGTTGCTCATGAATGGGGACGATGTACTCTTTGGCCAGAGTATGACCTAGTTGTTTTGTTTTCTTTACGTTCACTAACAGAAACTCGTTATCCTCCATTGCCAACTGGTAACAGCTATTCTCTAGGCGACATTGTGGAGAGAGAATTTTTCAGCCACCATCTTTCTGAAAAAGACAAATGCCTTCTAAAGAAACAAATCCATATGAGTAAGGTTCTATGGCTCTTGGATGGTCATGATGAAATTATACAGAATGTACCATCACACCTACAATATTTATTCGAACACTTACTCAAAACTCCACATCACATCATAACATCGCGTCCATACTTCAATACTTTATCGTATTCTGTGCAAATGGAAGTTATGGGATTTACTGATTCAAATATTCCAAAGTACGTAAATTGCTTCTTCAGTCAAACTTATCAAGTCATAGATAATTCATTTGATCATGCGCAACAATGCTTGAAATTTTTAAAATTAAACCCACGCATTTGGGGTATCGCTCATATTCCAGTAAATCTAGAACTCATATGTAGCATTTGGAGTGACATCGATTTGAACGAAACTAAAAGCGTAACAATCACCGCTCTCTATGACAATATGACCGAGTGGCTATGTGAGCGCCACTTAATAAAACAAAACACCACATTTCAAATGACTAAGGCAGAAGTGTATGCACACTGTCATAAGGAACTTACATTCTTAGAAATATTGGCATTTGAAGGAATGACAAGCAATTCAATTATAATAGGAAAAGGATTGCTACAAAAAATTATGGGAGAGACTGGATTTTCGCTCATGATCATACCAAATTTACTTAATATTGGGATTCTTAAGTCGTTTGAACATGGCTGCATCGGAAAACGAAGAGAGGCAGACAAACAGCATTATTTTGTTCATCTCAGCTTTCAAGAATACTTTGCTGCACGCCACTTGCTCAATGGTCTGCTTGGCGCCGGACGACAGAAATGCATTCGATTTATCCAAACCCACAAATACAATCCTCGTTTTGCTTTAATGTTTACTTTTGCATCAGGGCTACTTATTCGAACCGGTAACATAGAAATTATCAACACCTTCTGGCACAATATACTCAACGAGCATGTCGATCTAGTTGGTTTTCGGCATCTTCAACTACTCGTTTCATGTATCGACGAAGCTCAATGTAGTGAAACCATCCATGAAAAGGATCGAATAATTCAATTTATCACAAATTGGATAAAATATATTTTTTCATTGGGACGATGTATTTTACAAACCAGTCTTGAAAAAATCCTCGAAACGTGTATATCAGTACCTAATCAGCCTATGATACAAAAAACCCTGATCAGTCTACTAGAAACAAAAAACCAGAATGCCAAAACCGATGTACTTTTATTACTAGCCCACTTACAAATTTCGAATCCACTTTCTCAACTAATTGAAAAAATAAGCGACCAACTTGAATATTCCAATTCCAAACTTAGAATAAATGCATGCAAAGTTCTGCAGAAACTGGCTCCGACGACAGTGACTGATGCTGTGATCAATCGATTAATGCTTCTACTACACGATAATGATTTCAACGTTCGATCGACTGCGCGCCATGCACTCCGTAAATTAAGTAAAATATTACCAACGAGTGATCTGATCAGTCGATTGGCGATTGCAACTAGAGACACTAACAACTACGTTCGTGCATGGGCATATGAAGCTCTCGGTCAACTGGACCAAAAGGCATCCATGAGCGAGGTGATCTATCAATTAGTGACTGCGCTTCGGGATCCAGACGAAGACATCCGACAAAGTGCATGTACAGCACTAATTCAATTAGGTGAAAAGGGAGCAACGACTGAGGTCATCAGTCGATTACTCACTATACTTAACGACAGTAATAAGTATGCCCGATTAAAAGTATTTTATGCTCTTGGCAAATTAGGTAAGAAGGCAGCAACCAGTGTGGTGATCTGTCAATTAGTCCTTGCGCTTCGTGATAGTGATGAGTCTGTTCGATCAAGTGCATGTAAAACACTCATTCAATTAGGTGAGACCGCCGCAACAAGTGACGTAATCTGTCGATTGGTTGTTGCACTTGCGGATACTGATGAGCATGTTCGGTCGAGTGCATGTAAAGCACTCATTCAATTAGGTGAAAAGGCAGCAAAAAATGAAGTGATAAGTCGACTGCTCGATGCACTTACGAATTATGATAAGTATGTTAAGTCGAATGCATGCAAAGCTCTGGGTCAAATAGGTAAACATGAAGCAGCCAGTAATATGATTAGCCAATTGGCGAATGCGCTGAGGGATAGTGATAAATATGTTCGGTCTAGTGCATGCAGTGCTCTCGGGCAATTAGGTGAAAAGGCAGCAACAAGAGAGGTGATCAGTGAATTGGCTATCGCGCTTAGGGATAATGATGGTTTTGTTCGATCTAGTGCATGCAATGCTCTGGGTCAATTAGGTAAAACCGCAGCAACAATGGAAGTGATCAGTCGATTAGTGATTGCCCTCGGTGATAGTGAGAGGCACGTTCGGTCGGGTGCATACAAAGCAGTCATTCAATTAGGTGAAGAAGCAATAACAAATGATGTGATAAGTCCTCTCGTAAATGCTCTTGGTGTTAATGATAAGTATGTCAGGAGAATGGCTTGTAGTGCTCTCGGACAGTTAGGTGAAAAGGCAGCAACAAATGAGGTGATCAGCCGATTATTCATTGCGCTTAGGGATAGTGATCAATATGTTCGGTCAAATGCGTGCAACGCTGTCGGAGAGTTAGGTAAAACGGCAGCAACAAGTGAGGTGATCAGTCAATTAGCGATTCCTCTTGGAGACAGTGATAAATATGTTCGATCTAATGCATGCAATGCTCTTGGTCAGCTAGGTGAAAAGGCAGCAACAAGTATGGCGATCAGTCTATTAGTAGTTGCGCTTGGAGATAGTGAGGAGTATGTTCGATCAAGTGCATGTAATGCTATCGGTCAGTTAGGTGAAAAAGCAGCAACGAGTAAGATAATCGATCGATTGGTGATCGCTCTTAGAGATAGTGATCAATATGTTCGATCAAGTGCATGCAATGCTCTCGGGAAGTTAGGTGAAAAAGCAGCAACGAATAAGGTGATTGATGGATTGGTGATAGCTCTTAGAGATAGTGATCAATATGTTCGATCAAGTGCATGCAATGCTCTCGGGAAGTTAGGTGAAAAGGCAGCAACAAGTAAGGTGATTGATGGATTGGTGACTGCACTTGATAATAGTGACCAATATGCTCGTTCGAGTGCATGCAACGCTCTCGGTCAATTAGGTGAAAAGGCAGCAACGAGTATGGTGATCAGTCAATTGGTAATCGCGCTTGGGGATAGTGATGAGTTTGTTCGATCGAGTGCATCTACTGCTCTCGGTCGATTAAGCGAAAAGGCAGGAGCAAGTGTGATGATCAATCGATTGCTGATTGCAGTGGGAGATAGTGAGGAGTATATCCGGTTAGTTGTATCGAAGGCTCTCTATCAATTAACTGAGAAGGCAGGAACAAGAGATGTGATCGGTCTCTTGGTGAATGTTCTTTATGATAGTAATAAGTATGTTCGAATGGATGCATATAGTAATGCACAGCAATCAAGTTTTATGATCAGTCGAGTGATAAATGTGCTCAATGATACTACCAAGCAACATTCGTTGGATTTATCTGATTCGCTCGGTCTAATAAACGAAAAGGCAATAACAAATGAGGTGATCGGTCGACTCGTGATTGCTCTTGGTGATAGTGACAAGTATGTCAGGAGAATTGCATGTAGTATTCTGGGTCGATTAGGGGAAAAGGCAGCAACAAACGAGGTGATCAGTAGATTGGTGATTGGGCTTCGTGATAGTGATGCTGCTGTCCGGTCACAAGCATGTTACGCTTTAGGTGAATTAAGGGACAAGGCAGCAATGAGTAATGTGATCAGTGGGTTGACCATTGCGCTTGGTGATAGAGACGATAATGTTCGGTCGAATGCATGTTGTGCTTTAGGTAAATTAGGTGACAGGGTAGCTACGAATGAGGTGATCAGCGGATTGGAAATTGCACTGAAGGATACTAATTCGAATATTCGGTTGAGTGCTTGTGATGTTCTCAGCCGATTCAGTGAAAAGGCAGCAACGTGGACAGCCATTAATCAATTGATAATTGCACTGGGTGATAGCAACGAACATGTTCGCTCGAAAGCGTGCTGTGCTCTGGGAAAATTTGGTGACAGGGTAGCTACGAATGAGGTGATTGGACGATTGGTGATTGCGCTTGGCGATAAAGCGGATGATGTCCGTTCGAGTGCATGCTATGCGCTCGGCAAGCTTGGTAACAAAGCAGCGACAAATGAGGTGATAAGTGAACTGATGAATGGAGTTGGGGATAGTCATTGGAAAGTTAGGCAGTATGCGTGTAATAGTTTGGAGAAGCTTGTTAGCTCATGTCGGATTAGGAAACACAATGCAAATCCGAACATCCAACTAGTCGAGTATGGAAAAGGCAAAAACTACGTCGAGGAAACTTCGATGCTTTGTTTTAAGGTACTCGAGCGAGTTTTAGAATTCCAGGATCTCTTTTGGATTCAGTGCTTTTTGTGGTTAGCGCTTTGGGAGGGATGGTCTGTTGTGATTGACGGGGAGACAATAAATATGTTTGGGAAAACCCAATTTATGGGAAGTATAGCTGTTACTGGTAAGATTCGTGAGACACTGCTGAACTGTTGTCAGAATCTTTTCAAAAAAATACAGAATTATCGCTTAAGGACAAGTGGTGCATTACAGTAGAAGGACGAATGCAATAAGACTACCAACGACAAAATTAATGCTATACCTATTTTTGATCTAAAAATATAGAGTTTATGGTCAGAAGAAGTTTTGAACCTGGATATATATGAATAGCACAAGTATAGCTGTTTATAATACAAATATAAATTGAATATGAAGGTAAAAACTGTTGATATACTTTCTGAGTCTTTTTAATACATGCTGGAATAACATTTAATGATAAACTATTCAAAGCTTCATCGGCAGCATTCTCTAATTCATCTTGTGATTTTGGATTCTTGTTTTTAATTTTTTGTTTGATAATGTTCCAGATTAGTTCAATAGCATTAAAATCAGGACTATAGCCTGGCCATTTACATAATTTAATATTATATTGGTCACACCATTGTTTGAGTTGAACACTTTTGTGTCATTTAACTCCATCAGAAATATATAAAAATCTATTTAATTTAGATAAATTTCCAGATAAAGCTTCATTAACTGTCTCACAATATGTTTCACTATTTAACTAGTTATTAAATCGACGAAAAACATAACCATTTCACCAAATGAAACCAATTAAATTAACATGTGCTCGTAAAGATGATACTTTCTTCTTGTGTGTTGGCTCTCCTCGTTTACAGCAAACAATCTGTTGTGTAATTCTTAAACCCACATAACATTCGTCTTCAAAAATATAATTCTTGATGTTAGTACGAGGATGTAATGCAGCAAATTGATATCATTTTGGTTCATTTATATTGTTGCTCTTGGCTTTAACAAGAGACTTACGAGGTCTATAACGTTGTATCGTGCGTTCGGTAGTGTTTAAACGTGTGAGTGATAGTAATTCAGCTGCAGTAGTCCATCGGTTTTGTTGTATAGTTCGATCAAGTTGTTTAATTTCTGTTGAATCGAGTGCAGGTGGACGACCAGCATTATATCTATCAGTGTAATTTACATCATTATGGCGATGATAATAATTAATGACGTGGTATATTGTAGAATGGGGGCATTTCAAGAATCATGCTAGTTTTGAGATATTTATAAAGCATTTTTTCTACTCACTGATGATATACCCGCGTTGTTCTTCAGTTAGTGCATACATTTTCAATAGAATCATCGAGCAACGAAATAGGGATCAAACACAAAATATCCGAAAGTAAATATACAGTAACCGACCATTACGTATCTTATTCAAGTATGTATTAAAAAGACTCAGAAAGTATATCAACAGTTTGTATCTTCATATTCAATTTTTATTTGTAGTATAAACATACATTCTTGTGCTATTCATATATATCCAAGAAGAAACTTCTTCTGACTATAAACTCTATATTTTGGCTCAAAAATAGGTGTAGCATTAATTTTGTCGTTGGTAGAGAGATAGCTTGGTTAAGAGAGATTCGAACTTTCTCAAAAGCTGTTTTATCAGATATACACTGCGCAAACGTAAGTCTTTGGGTCTCATTTGGACCAGAGATAGAATACCATTTTCTCTAATCGCATGAATCACATGAATCTTATTAGGTCAAATTGCACCGAGGTTATAAGTCAAACACCATCTTCACATTGTGGTGAACATATGTCGGTCGAGTTCGGAGACTTCTTTTGTTTAGCTCTGCTACAGTGTATTCTCATAACATATACCTCGATCCTCTCTATTCTCTTCTCTTAGATATTTTCGTTTCTATCTTTTCGTTTCTTTAACTTCTTTTCTTTGTCCTTGATTAACCTTTGCCTTCTTTTCTATTTTGTTCATATTTTTTCATGTGCGTATATAAACTCTTGTTTTGTAAACGAATAAATAGAGAGAATAAACCACACACACACATACGTTAACTGTGTTCGTCGCTCTTCGTGAGCGCGAACGCTAACATTTGGCGATCCTGGCGAAACAAGAACATTCAAATTAACGAACAACAAATTCATTAAAATTCATCAAAATTATTTTAACATGTAGCTGATAAGAGCCTCTACTGAATTCAGACTCGCGACAAGATTACGACTGATCAATTTATTATATAAGCGAATATCTGTCTCTCTGAATAATCAAGTGGAACACAAAAAAAAAAGATTTTTTTTTTCGCTAAACATATCAGAAGCACACAATACCTGCTAGTTATTATTGATATGACAATTTTGATAATCGAACAAACGTATGGTTCTGAGGATCTTTTGCCGAAAAGACCGCTTCAAAAAAAAATGTCAAATTACATGGAATAATTATTTATCATTAGATTAATCTGATTGAATATAATTTAGCATAGCATGTTCGGGGAGTATGACTTTCCTCAGGTCACTGATTGTGAAGGGCTATTATGTTCAATTTGGCATAGATCTATTAATATTTTATTATTCTATTATACGAACTACAATTTTGAATACATTCAATATTCATTTATTCTTAACAGATTCTTACCTAGGTACTGAGAATCGAAAAAGAAACATATTTCGTAACCTGTTTTTTGGCATATTAAAGAATCTATGAATCATATTATTTTTTTTCTTGTCACTTAAAACAAACAAAATTATTACATATAATATTAGATTATTTGCAGTTAATGTGAATATAAACGAGCTGACAAAGTTAAACAACATCAAACAAAAAATCAACTTTATACGTCGAACAACATCTGACTGAAATTCGTTCATTTTTTTTACATGAACATCATGTTTTTTAGTATCATAGTAAACTTCTATTCTTTCTTTTGTGCGCGTTTTTTGTTGTTGTCCATGTCTACACATATTACCATTAAATATGTGATCTATTTCTGTTATTTTTCTACCTTTGTTAAACATTTTTTTTCTCTTCATATTTCGTTTGCATTTGATTTTTCTCTGTTTCAAACACTAACCGTTTATTTCAAAGATTTTCCTTCGTTATAGTTGTCCTTTTGTATCTGATATTACTCATTCTTATATTTCTTATGCCATTGTCATTTCTGTTTTTTTTTCTCTTCTAAAAATGTTGATAGTGCACATTTTTTTGTTCAATAGGGGAGTATGTTACAGTGTATTCTCATAACATATACCTCGATCCTCTCTATTCTCTTCTCTTAGATATTTTCGTTTCTGTCTTTTCGTTTCTTTAACTTCTTTTCTTTGTCCTTGATTAACCTTTGCCTTCTTTTCTATTTTGTCCATATTTTTTCATGTGCGTATATAAACTCTTGTTTTGTAAAAGAATAAACAGAGAGAATAAACCACACATACACACACACACGTTAACTGTGTTCGTCGCTCTCTATGAGAGCGAACGTTAACAAGCTATTTTTCCAAAAGCTATGTATTTCAATTTTTTCATCAACAATAATTAGTTCGAAAGTATTTCAAAAGTCCGCAGGTTAAGGTTCCTCACGGAAAACTGTTGCGAGGCAATAAGCTGCAGTCTTCAGTTGAGAGACAATAACATGGCTCGGTCTCGACTGATGCGTTTGATAATTGTAGCTAGCCATTCTAATAAATCTACAAATTTATGCAATAATATTTCAGACTAGTAATTCAATGTAGAGTCTAAATAGAGACGGAGAACTATGCGCAATGGCACAGCTTGTTAATCAGTGGAATCTAGATACTAAATAATGGTATCTCTATCCTAGGAACTAGGTACATCGCAGTGTTTTTAGTACTTAAAAGAACATCAATCCACTGGTGAAGCATGGTTTGGGAGACAAAAGTTTCTATAGACCGTATTTACTCTCTTGATGTATTCGAGAAATGAACAACAAAATATGCGCGGTTAGAAATTCCTGTCGTAATGCAGAATGGAGTTTTCAGTCTTATGAAGTACTAATGAACAGTTATAACAGATGTAGAAATGACGAAAGCAATGGCGGTAAGAGGTTGACACGTCTGCGTGTTGACTTTGAAATTCCATTATTCACCTTCGAAGTGCCTTTCGGTATGCGTGGTTGTTGATTTGTTGAATGAATCGAACAAATATCGCAATCTCTGAAAATGCTATCATGACATTTTTTCTGCTTCACTTAGTTGCTCTGGTCTTTCAAGCCTTAATATAACATAATATGCCTAGTTTTCTTGTGTTCAGAATTCTGTGCATAAGAGCAAGGCTTAATTGATTGGTAAGCTCTGCCCTGAAAAACTGTTTAATCAGTTCTCTCGTGACTGTACATTGGATTCCGGTTTCCAAAGGACCTCGCCGGATAAGACAGCAAATCTGGCCCCCCTCTGGATTCGATTCTGTTGGGTCTAGAAAGAAAGCCCGCACATTTTTACATAGTTCTGTATATTTCTTTTCCTCTCTTAACAATATTACAGTGAATCACTTGAAGCTATTCTGTCACAGGGGGGGGTATCCAATTTATATGTATTTTTACACAATCATATATACATCTTGTGACCCATTGAAGATTCATATTATTTTAACTACAATATATCAAAAGATGCAGCTAAATCTCCTCTACAAAATGGTCATAAATGATCAATAATCAAAATAGATAAAGTACGAAAAAATGGCATGAAAATACTCTGGTTTTACTCATTTTCTGAGAAAACCGAAAAAAACGCCTTTAGTGTACATGCTCGTTCTCCCTTATAGTTCAAATGACAAACTTGAAACTTTCCCAGAAACATCTCCTAAAAATTCTCTACAAAATGAGGTACTTTTGGTTGGAATAAAAATGGTCCAAAGGGCTCAACTACTCAAATCAATTATCACCAATAACATATGTTGAAATATTTGAGTGGATATTTCTGTAACGTTTTTTCCAGCAAAATTCTTTCATAATCGCAGATATGTCATTGATGTTCTAACTGATCTAGAAAATGGATTGACTGACATAGTTATGACATATTTTGACAGTAATCTGTGCCATTGATTTAGTAATCTGATCACACACATCACTGGTCATATGTCATAATTTGTATGTCAATAAATCGAACCGAGGTAAGATTCTCCTAGAAAGTTCATGTGTTCTCTGGTGGATATTTATATCCAAGTATAGCTTATCAAGAACTAAAGTATGTGCGTGATAGAATCTCACTCTGACAGATTTACAACAGTGGCACACATACTCTTCAAGTGCTTGTATTGTTTGTTTTTCAATCTGTTTTTTCTCACTCCGTTCCGTTCTGTTTCGGCTGATAGAAGGTGGTGTTTTGGTATTGAATACCTTCCTTGCCAGAAAGAATGTTTCATTTCGTTGCATACCATCACGTTGATGATGGTTCCATTATCTCTTAGCTTTTTTCATTGTCCTGGTATCGCACTCGTTTCTTTTGTCTTCAAAAGAGGAAAAACACGAAAGAAGTGGTAGGCTTACCATAACACAACCAATTAATTATTACCTTATCGTTCACGTTTATAAATCAAATCTCAATGGTTTTCCTTTACAATACTCATTGATTGCTTCCAATGCCAAAAGTAAAGTGTGTTTTGTGTGAAAAGTTCCAGGATTCTACGAGATGTCGTTTGGTATCATCATCTGCTTACGACTGGTTTCACAAATATCTTCAGGAAAAACATGTGAAATTCGACCAAGATGATCTTCGTCTTTGTTCATCGTGCACAGAACAGTTTTACAAACTCAAAGAAGAAGTTAATTCGTTATCAACATCGATGATAAGTACTTCACCAATTGAAACTATGGAGACAAATACTGACGAACTTACTTTGGAAAATGTTATTTACACAGGATCCAGCGAAAAATGTTGTGTTATTTGTCGTGAATTTCGTAGTTCTTCGACCGACATGATAACTATGCCAAAATCAGCTCGGCTGGATCTGCTGATACTTCATCGTCTTTATGCTCCGCAAGGTGTTCGATGTTGTAGACTGCATATACTCGACAATAACCGTCTCGACCCAAATGGTTTTGTGGAGATAGATAGTCGCGAAAAATTGAAAGCAAGTCTTCAGTCCGATGAACTAATTCGTTTGTTAGATGATTTACTTTTGCTTATTAAAGAAGCTATGGAATTGCCACGTCTCGATTTTCAAGATCCATTGCTCTCAGATGATGATTACATGGCATGGACAGGTTGGACAAAAAGACAGTTTGACGCAATGTTCGAAGTACTTTCTCCCATTCTTCGGTCATCATGTAATCGTGACACACGCAACGCCTTAGCGGTTTTCTGGATAAAAGCTAAAACAAACTTATCATTCAGTCAAATAGGAACTTTATTTAATTACAGAGGCGATAGTGAAACTCGTCGAAAACGCGTCGGGGATACTTTTGATTCTGTGCGAATGATTTTGGTTCGTGACTTCGTACCACTCAATCTTGGTGTTGGTCACTTGACGCGAGAACAGGCTTTGACGCATAACACTGCTTTCAGTAAAGAATTTTGTGATAACAATGTGACGATAATTTGGGACGGTAAGTTTGAAAAGAAAGTATTCTTGAGAGTGTTAGTCAGATCAACATACGTTCAGTAGCTTCATTCTTGGAGCAGAAAAACATCTGTCTTCCGATCCAGACTTAGCACGATAGACGGAATCATTTCAAAAGTTTACTGCATTCTTGTGATGCTCATCTTTTCAATATACCACAGTTCAACGGCGGTTCAAACATAGACAACGTAGAATGGATATAAGACTTGATATTCGAGGATAATCATTATAAACGATTAAGAGAATTGTAAAACCAACAGATGAGAAAATGCTTGATATTTAACCATCGTTGTGGTGTATAAATGTTGATTTTGAATAAGGAATAAAACAGTAAACATGATCAATATAATTGATAGAAACTGCGACTAAGTAATTGATCATTGATTGTTTCATATCCAAATAATCAACAGATGAAAAAAGGTTCTCTTATCTTTTGTTTAATAGGCACATACCTTTATCTCGGAAAGAGCAGTGACCATTATGCTAATCGTTCTACATACTCTGGTCAAAAGTGTCGTCATCTCGTTAAGTTCATGTCACTCGTGCTTCCTGATGGGTATGTTTTAGACACAATAGGTCCTTTTCAAGGAACAGCAAACGACGCTAGTATCACTGAACGTATACTTGAAACAAGAAATGATTTGGTGGCATGGTGCGACTATGGTGACATTATGATATGTGATAGGGGTTTTAGAGATGTTATTCAAACCATGTCCGATCTCGGCTACGAAGTTAAAAGTCCAGTTTATCTCGAGAAATCCAAGAATCAACATACGACAACTGATTCTAACGAGTCTCGGCTAATCACGAAAGTAAGATGGACAGTCGAATCGTACCATGCCAGAATGAAGAAATGGCGTATATTATCCGATCGAATCGAAAATCAATTCTTATCAAAACTTGGCGATATAGTCAGAATTATTTCTGCCGGTCTTAATGCTTTCAGAGGTCCTATCATTAGTGATGTTGATGATGACCAATCAAAGATGATGGCCAAATTGATGAAAGAGCAAAAATCCAAAAATAATACATTAAAATGTGATATTGATCGTGGTTTAATAAGTTCTCGATCACAATGGAAAAAGCTGGATGATGAGAACATTGTCTTTCCAGAGATGGATTTGGACCACTTACGAGAACTTTTCTTTGGTACATATCAGATTAAGCAAAGTGAAACGTATACCGAAGAACATCTCGATGAAGAAGGAAATTATGTCGTTCAGGTCGCTCCAGAAGAGGATGAACTTATACGTTGTCGAATTCAAAGTCGCCACTCTAATGCAACACGCTATTATGCTTGGATTCGGTACTCATTATCAGAAAATACAATCACAGCTTGGTACTGCCAGTGTCGATCTGGTGCTCGAACAGTCGGTTGCTGCGGACATATTGCAAGTGTCATATGGTACTTATCATATGCTCGCTTACATGACTTTCATCCATCACCTGGCCGAATGAGAGTTGTTCAGGCTATAGAATATCTTAGATGACTGATGGAAGAAAAGTGAACAGAAAAAGTAGAAACAATAACTTTTAGCATTTTTTTTGATTTGCTTTTAACTGACTCAGAACATTTTGGGTCAAAAAGAAATGCATATGAAAACGTTTGGCCATTGCTGTGCTTTGATATAAATATCCACCAGAGAACACATGAACTTTCTAGGAGAATCTTACCTCGGTTCGATTTATTGACATACAAATTATGACATATGACCAGTGATGTGTGTGATCAGATTACTAAATCAATGGCACAGATTACTGTCAAAATATGTCATAACTATGTCAGTCAATCCNACCTCAAAATTGTTCGTTGTAGTACCTCAAAATACATTCTGGTCACCAGATTCATGGGAAAACTGTTTTTATTAAGTTTAGCTGACCCAAACTAAGCATCTCCAGCAGATATGACTTCAAAAGTTTTAGTTTTGGTAATACGGTCCTGGAAGAGAAAAAGAATGGTATTGAACTATAGGACGTATGATATATTTCATGTCAAAAAAATCCCTAAATTAAAAAACCCCCATTTGGGGATTTTGATTTGGGGATTGATTGTGGTAACCAATTTGGGGCAAATGATAACTTACCATTATTGGCATGCTATTTTCATTTAATAGATTGGTTCTTTTCATAGACTTATAAGCAATTATGTTTACCACAGAGAAAGCTTCTTTTAAAGTTTTAATACGATGACAGCATTTCTACTTACTAATCTAGCAGCTCGATTTGCTGAATTAAGACGACGTTGTCGTTGATCTTGAATTTGTTGACTAAAAAAACAACAGATTTTTTTTTTCTTCTTTTGAAGTTAGATTAAAAATGTTACCTCTGTGATTTTGTTTTTAATGTAACACTTTTTAATTGATTTTCAAGTTGTTTAACAATTTGTCTTTGTTCATCATATCGTTTTAATAAAGCAAATAAATCTAAATAAATAAATTTATTTTTTTTTTATAGAAAAATCAAAAGAAAAAAACACACCATCTTCGGTTGTATTATCAATAAGCAATCGATGATTATAGGCTAACACACCAAATGCATGTGTTGTTTGTTGAAGTTTAATTTTAAATCTATCACACATCTAGAAGAAAAATAAAAAGACAACTGTCTTGTTATTTATATAATAAAACAATAAGATAAACATTGATAAAGATAACATAAAATATAATAAACAAGTTTATTTGCTTTTGTGATCATCACGTTCTTTTCGATTGTAAATATACAAAAGAAAGTTTTATTATAATAAAAATTCCAAGTGAATTTGAATCTTAAATAAATCTTTTACTATAAAGAAGTTTTTTGTTTTCTTGGAGGCATATCATCAAATAATTTGACTTTCATTACCAAAATCTGTAAAGATGAAAAAAATATTCTTATAGAATTAGTTGTAGATAATAACTTTAATTCTTCTAAAGGTGATAAAAGATCATACTACTGTATGATTATCTTATTGGACATCATAACTAACATCACGATTTTCTTCACGAATCTAGAATAAGTATCAAACATATCTCAGATTTTTTTCAATATGTAAACCAAAATCATATCTTGATTAATAATGATTAGATAGAAAAAAGAAAAAAACCTCACGATAACTAAAACTAAAAATGTACTGTTGCTATATTTTTCTATCATATGAATGAATAATGATGTCTTGTCGTTTGAAGGGTACTGATCATTTGTCTATTTAAATTGTTGATAAATGAGGAGATAACACTAATTGATTAGTTGAAATACGAGAGAGCATTAATGGTATCATAGGATCTACATTTGGAGATAGTTTAGATACTGTAGGATATATTAGTACATTCATATCATTATCTTGTTCCTTACGCATTTCTTGGATATTTACAGTTGAAGTTTATTGCAGCTGTCATGTCCATTTCTGTTGAAAGATCTAGAAAAGATAAACTTTTACTCATATTTTGATTTTATTATTTGAAATAAAGGTTTATCGATGAACTCAAATTAATATGTTCGTGACATACGTTGAAGGCAGACTTGAAATAGCTAAGAAGTTCTAGAGGATAGCTTCGAAATACTCTTGACGTATGCAGAAAATATGAAATTCTAACTTTTTTTTTATTGTTTATCATAAAAGAACAACATTAAGCTGAACTAAATTTCTTAATAATCGATCATATTCTACTAGTTAAATTGATGTACTTCAAATATTTAATTGGGTTTTATGAGATCTATACCCATGGAAAAAGTATATTTGCTAAAATGTGAAATTCACAAATTTTTAATATAATTTGATAAGAATATGAAATGTTAAAGTTGTTTTATAGAATATGGTAATTTACTCTCTAATGATTAATCTTGACGCAAAAGAAAAAAGTATGTTTTCAAATTGATTCTGACATTTTTGCCTTCAAGCAATTCTCCAAAGAGTTCATGTCAGCTCTCGTTATTCTGATCGTTTTCACATTCTTAAATTATCCGTTAGATAAAAATTAAATAGTAGATTGCATTAAGAGAAATTACCTTGTTCCGTAGTTGATAATCAACTTGAATAGAAAAATTGTATTTTTTTTTTCTTCTTCCCTCTTTCATATAAATGGTTTTTAACCCATTCAACACGACAATTAATTGAATCATTAACTTTTTTGTGAATGTTTTATCCAATATGGAGCAACATCCCTCTGAAAATCTGAAGAAAACACTATTTTTTTTTATTGATATGAAGATTTTTTTTGTAGTATTCAACAAGTTATGTAAAATAATTCAATAAACCGTATATTGATTTAAGAAAGTTAAATTAATGGAGTTAAAAACTGACGACCATTTTGTGCAATAGATCAAATTGTTAAAATTTAAGAATATCACTAAATCAGAGAAAAAAAAACAAAATAAAATAAAACCAATACAAATAATTCCATACAGATCAAAGATAGGCGGAGCTGTCCCGTGTAACTCTGATATAGATAGTGGGTCAGTCATAAATTCATGTCCTACTAAATATATTAACTAGTGTTTGTTTTTTAATGGTACTAAGCATAAATGCACTTCCCTTCGATAAATTCTTTTAAATTTATGCAAAATTGTACACATTGTAAGGATTATGTGAATTTAAAGAATTAAGTCTTAGATTATTTTTTTCCGCATCTTTTTCTTTACTTTCGTAGCTGAGTCCGTTTTAGGCAGTAAAACTATTAGTTTTATCAATAATGTCTATATAAAAATCAAATAATTTACTTCGAACTTCTCGTAGTAGATAAATAGTATCAATTTTAACTGTAACTAATGATGGTACGAAAGCAGCTGGAATAGTTTTTATTAATGTCGTTAGACTGATACAATTGCTTTCAACAGATGATATAAGGATGTCTTTGATAAACTACTGAAAAAGGTAAATTAACTAAGATATTCAAAGCGCGGACAAAGAATAACGAAAGAAATGACTGGATGATTTTGTTGGTTAATAAAAAGAAACTAATTGAAAGTCATTAGACAATAGATGTCGTTATTAGTTGTTGGTATTGCAAAGTGTTGATCTAGTAATGTGCGGGTGTTGTCAATAATAATGGATGATTAACCCTGCAATTTACGACAAGGAACATAAACGCGATTTAAAGGATATATGAAACATTTGATCCAATTGAATTTGAATAATCAAGTGGTTTGTTCTGGTACAGTTTGTGTTCTTAGTCTGACATTTTCAAAAAAATATGTTCATTATTAAATTACCTTAAATAACTAAGAGTCATAAATGAGAATTTGATAACGAAACATTGGAATCCGTACAGCTGTTCATCAACAGATAACTACTTGTTTTAAATAAAACAATTAATTACGTGAGTCTCAACATTGATCCGTGTCTTTTTTTGTTGAAAATAGTAGATTTTTATCATAATTATTTTAGAAAATTTTTGAAATAATCAAGAAAATATTATCTTTATTGATTGAAAAGTATGTATTCATAGATCAATTTTAAGAACAGATCAGTTCTATTCATGGTTAGTGTTTATTTCTCTTTAGCAGAATGATTGAGAACAATTGTAAAAAAATAATTTTCTATATCTAGGGTAGTTCTATTTTGACAATCCAAAATCTTTATATTGATTTTGAAGACAAAATCCTGGAAACAAACTGATTATCAATGACAGATTTCTTATCATAAGTACAAAAAAGAGATTTTTTTTTCGCTGTCATCCTTTGTTTTGTTTAATGAACCGGATGAACAGGAAATTAAATTGTCTCTTTATGGTCTAGTCAATAGATTCTTGTCGAAATTTGTTTCCCGAACAAATTCACTCAGTTAACAATACTAATTAGATATGCTTCATGAGTTTGCATTCTTTAAAAAGAATCAACATTCTTCTTAGTGGTGTAACTAAGAGTGGGCTAGATTGGCCGTCGTCCAACTAATCTCGATATCCTGATTACGTCATTATCTTTTTTTTTTCAAATTAGAAGTTTCGATAGAGACGTATTGATTACTTATTTAAAATAAAGTGCAACTAGATTTGCTTTTTTTTTTGTATAAAGAAACAAAAGTAGACATTCATTTTTGATAAAAACAAACAGATTTTGGAAACATACTTCATTCGAGAGCATATATGAAAAGAACACAAAGATGAATCATTTTTGATGAATGGCAACAATGCCAAAGAACAGAAATACTAGAAACTGATTCAATTCACTTTGTTACGATGAAAAACACAAAAAAAAACAGCAATTGTTTTGCTACTATCTGCATCTCATTTTTGATACAATAAAACTAAGATATTATTTATGAGCTATTTTCTATTCAACAAAGTATATCATCGAAATAGTGTTGCAGTACATTAGTAATTTACATTATATCAATAGAATTCTATTCGATTCTCTTGAAGATTTTTATTTTGTAATAAATCATAAAGAGGACAGCTTGCCTCCTCTCCCTTCTGAGATTTCTGGAGAACGACTAATTAGAAATATTTGAAATTTCCACGACAGGTTGATCTCGACAAGTGGAGAAAAAATTGTCACAGTGTTTCTGCTACTTCCCGCCCCCCTTCTTTCCCTACAATGCTATGTTCGATCGAGCTGAACATTTTTTTACATACACTAAACACTATTTCGGATGGATATCATAACGTTTTTTTGTAAGAACTATCAAAAATCAGCGGAACAATATTTTTTTGAAGCAAAAAAAACAAACCGATCACAAACAATGTATAGTATTTCAGCTCGATCGAACTTACTAAGTCCGAGAAACGGGTGCATTTTTGCTATTTTCGTTACATAAATTTGATTTCTTTTCGATTTTTTAACGTTGAAAGACAATTTCTGAATTCTAAGATGTACTGAGTAAATAAATACAACTTCAGACAATACAATCGTCACAAAAAAATAAGTATTTTGGGTCACGGAAGGAAGCGGGAACTTCCCTTTAATGTTTCTGAAATAACAATGATTGAATACAAATCGAACCTAGAACAAGCATTAAATTCTCTTGTGAAGCAAAAAAAAAGCGTCGAAGAAATATGTTTACAATAGATGAAAGATTGATAATAAAGCATATTTCATCTCTAGACAATAGCTTTTCTTCTTCTAAATAGATTATATAAAAACCAATAGAAAGCAGCATTAGCTTTCATTATATTAACTTTATTCAAGTAAGATTTCTTTTACATTAATATATCAAACGCATTATTGGTATAAATGGGTCAACGAGTTTTTTTAGGGCGGGCAACCTTATCTGGCAAAATAAATCTATTATTATTTATGAACTAATGCAAGCTTGTTTGTGCCATTAGAATGATGAAGATTTCGGTACATGTTTGTAAAAGAGAAGAACAAGAAGATGAAAAAGAGAGAAAAGATGGAAAGAAAAAAAAAACTTCTTTGACAGCCTCGGGAAATGGAATGGAAACAAAGCACACAGCAAGAACAGGGAGAAGGAAATAGGTCCCGATAAAAAGCAGTCTAATTTTTAACTCATAGCGAATGAACGATGGTTGAACGAATAAAAGTAATCGACGAGACTGTCACCTATTCATCATGGAAAGTATTATTTGTATTCTTATTAAAATTTGAAATGGTAATGAGTACTCGAAATCGACATACTTCAAATAATACAAGCAATTATTCATGTTATACTTGTATAGAACCACTTGTTGGTTATAGTAAGTTTTTTTTATAATTATAATATAACTTTTATAGTTAAAATAAAATATTAAAATTTTCGTCTTAATAGTAAATATTTGATAATTATCTGCTTTTTTTTTCTTTCTAGCTGATCATCCAGGTTCATGTAAATATCTTAATACAAGTTCGCCATTAGCATCATCTTATATAAAAGAATGTAACATTAGTGATAATGATGATATTAATGAATATGAATGTCGAAAATTAGTCGTTAGTTATCGTTCTGTTGAAACATATTTACGTCGTGATTGTGTGCGAAAAGGTTTATGTTCATGGAAAGATAAAACTCAATCGATGATAAATACACCGGTGTACGATTGTGTTTATACTGATGAACGTACACAAAAACTTGAATGTATTTATTGTTGTGATACATCATTATGTAATCGAACAATTTCATATCGCATGACAAATCAATTTATTATTTGTTTATTATTTATTAGTTATAGAAATTTGATTTTATAATAAATTTATAAAAAAGCAAAAATTTATATTTAAGGTAATAAAATTTGAAAATTAAATATTAACCATAACGTAGATACATTTGAAATGTCCTAATCAGTATATGTGAAGCATGAAAAAGAACGATAGATATTAACTGTAGTTTATTGTTTTAATTTTGGCCTCCGAAAAGAAAGTATAAAAATATGCAAATTCTATGAAATTATTTTTTTTTACAAAAGCCAAATCATATCTTTTCGTATAATGTTTGAAAACACATGATGAAGAATAGATTGAAGAGACATAAAATTGGTTATGTTAGGCTTTGTATTATCAAGTATTCTACTTAATATAATGGAAATGCATTACTTTAGAACTAACTTAGAATGTAATGGTTTTTTGTTATGTAGATTCATTGAGCAGATTTTATTTTAATTAAGCATCAGTATCAAGAATGACTTTTCATTTCCTACAATGAATTTAAGTGTCAAAGTCACATCTCATTCTCAAGAGAATAAAGGTTATCTAGTTAAAGATATTATAGCTAATAGTAAATTACATGAACACCAATTTACACAGTGCAAGTAAAGATAAATTAGATCGATTGATATGGACAGATAGAATCATATCAATAAATAACATCCAAATATTAATGAAACTCTCTGAGCATCAATCCAAACTTAATTAACACCTATTTGAAAAAAGAATGATTCAAATAGGTGTTGATTATGTTTGGATTGATGTTCAGAGATTTTCATTAATGTTTAAACAGTATTCGTGAGCGTTCACATAGTTTACTAATGGATCTCGAAAAGAAAGTATACTTCTATAATAAAAAATTTATTAAAACAGTTGTTTTGTGTTTTTAAAAAAATCTGTAATTTTTAATGTCGTTTTATGAAGAATTTACTATGTCTAGAATAAAAAGAGACAACGCGAATCTTATTTGATTACGCCTATACGTAGAATGCTGATATTATACGAAGCATAGTATATATATGAGTCTAAACAGATACTTTTAATTGATATTTACAATCATCTGTACGAAATGGTGTAGTATTTTCTTTTAGAAAAACTAAGAAATGTTAGGAATTGATTTTTCAATAGTATTTTTTTCTCACATTTAACGAAAATGTAGACAAATTTTTGATTATTCTACTATGTATAAGACATAATATTTCCTCTTATAAAATCTAAAAAAACATTCAATGAATGTTAATTTGTACAAGAGAATAATATAACATGTTCTTATGAGAACATACATTGAAATAAATCATTCGTCGTAAAAAGCTACTCTCCTGAAATAAATACAATCTACCTTAATTATATGATAAAATTGTTTTAGATAAAATATTTCTTGAAACATAATAAATTAACAGATGAAAAATGAAATTCATCCAGAATGAAGTACACATAAGATAACTTTGTGTGTTTTATAAAAAAAAACAAAAAAAAGTATAAAATGAACTAATGAAATTATATTCGGCTGAAGTCAACTCAAGTTCACTTCACACAATCTGGATGACATTAGTTATTTGAAGAACTTTGCAACGATCTTGTTTTTTGCTCTCTTGATTTTAATTATCATGAAATGCAAAGTTTATGACAATCTGTCTGTTTGATGATGGACTCGCTATTAACAAAAAGAACATTAGATTGAAGATTGAAAAACAAGTCATGTCAATTCAATCTTGTGTTTGAACAAATATTTTCTAACTTAACATTTGCAAGATTATTGTGTCATAAAATATATCAACTGTTGATGCATATCTCTAGTAAAATCAAAAACAGAGAGGACTTCTTGATCTTCGCTTCGCGTCGACCTTGATTAACTTTTTCCGCCGTCACTTCTACCTATGTGAGACTCCTTCCTGAGAAAAAAATTTTCTCCAAATCGTAACTTCGCTTGAATTCGACACCTTGTTTCAATTTCTAGTATTAATAAATACCTGTGCATAAGAAACGCAATGAAAAAGTTTGTTCTTCATGTAAATTTTTCTTATTGCTGTTCAATTGAAAAGACTAACAGGTACGAAATCGTCTAACTACGAACTTTGGTATTTTTGTTGAATATTGATCGATTTATATTAACTTGTGCGTCATCAAGTGCTATTCTAAATTGAAAGTATTTAGCTACAATAAATAATATATCTTATATACTACACTTTTTGGCAACTTCATGAGGTTCATGTTGGCGTTGCTTAGAATTAGCATCTAGCGATATATTTTTAGATATACTCTCTGAAGCATTGTTTTCAAAATTTCGACGAAGAATATGAAGGATTTATTAGCATACTATTCTCCATGCAGAATTTATACTTGAAGAAGACGATGTAAATTTTAAAGTGAACAATGAAAATATTTACGTTGTTACAAATTAAGGACAAATATTGCGAGAAATTTGTCAGAAAAGCATTTTTTTAAGGATTATTGAATTATAGTTGAGAAAATTTTTATCGCATATTCTGAATTTTTTTAGGACTCTTACTTCAAAAACGGTTTATTCATTCAAGTTTTTAAGCTGTGATAGTTGACCAATTGAGTTACGATTTCTTTTTTCATTGACAAGAAAAGTTCATCTGAAATACAAAATCAAAAATTTTACACAGCAAAAAAATCTCTATCAGATACACTTCGAATGAAACCTTTGAAATATCCTTTTCAAAAATGTGTTCATCGAACAAGAAAAGAAATAGACATTCGAAGCGCGTAACCTTGAGCAAGAGCACGGTACAGCCTAGTCTATTTCTGGTATACTTGTAATTTATTGGAGACAGATGTTATGCAAAAGTTTAATTAATTTTAATAATTTCAAAGAAACTTTCATTCAGATAAGATCTGGAAATAGAATAAGGCTAGGTTGAAAATAAAAACTTTGAATTAAAATGAAGTTCGAGACATTAATTCATTATGTACGAGAACATCATAAAATATAATTCTTAGTGGCTTATATAACTATTTAAAAAGTAACAAATAACAAGCAAAAAAGATTAAATTTTATAGACTGATGTGATTAAATATTACAGTCCGAAATTTCTGTTCACTTTCTTGCTATTCTCTTTATTATATCGTTTATTTCGTCTATTGTAGTGATTATTAATTTGCATCCTATTGTGCATCTAGATAGGATAAAACAATTAAAATAAATTGTTTGCTATGTGTTCAGTAAAAAAAAGGAATTAGAAACTACTTTTAAAACTTTTCTTCAATCAATACTTAAAAATGTTTTTAATAATCGAAATTATATTGATTCAAATTCGTATGCTCACAAAATTAAATATTTCATATTTGAAAATAAGTCAATTGACAATGAATATAACAATTTTATTTAATTATATTGAATAATCGAATGGTTGAAGAATATATATATATATGTAATATATCCTATGGAAAATGTTTTAATTAATGTGCTTCATTATTATTATAGTTATTCTTATTTTTATAGTTAATATTGTCTCTTATTTCTATTTATCATGTTTTAACTATGATCATTTTTCTTGATATTGATTGAATTAATATGTTGTCTATGTAATTTAATATTTTGTGTTTGCGGATATTATAGACCTTTTGTACACCAAGTGAACATCCAAAGAAAATACAAGCATCCACACATAACAAAAGTCAAATCTATATTCAAACAATTACTTCATATGGATTATATACCGATCTAGAGATTTTGTTGAATTCGTGATCACCAACAAATATAACCAAGACCTACATCCTGTAAAATATTATTAATTGGCTCTGTCCACTATGAAAATTTACAGATCTGAAATATCCAGACCTATAATAAATCTGATACGTAGCTATTTTTCGATTCGTATTACTATATAGCTCAAGTAATCATCAGAGAAAATTTTATGACTTTTGTTGGATGATCGTGATTGTCTATAGCTATTCACACTTTCTTTGGATGTTCGTGTGGCTTAGAAGAGTTCGATATTACAGAAAAATGACAAATAAATATTTATATTTCTTTCATTAATTATAAACATCTATTAGTAAGTCGATATCATCAACGTCGAAGTTATTCAAGTAAATAAGTATTCAATCAAATAATTTGATGAATAATATATTTGACAGATGATTATTTGTTTTTTTTTTGTTTGTATGTTAATATAAAGAAAAAAGCTTATTTAATATTTGTAGTTCATTATTAAACTTGTTGCATATTTTGATTTATAATTTCGGTAACCTGTTATAAATAACAGATAAAAGGGTATGAACAATCATAATAATCTAATTTAAACACAAGTAAGAAAAGAAAACAGGAGGGAAACATTGCACTGTTCAAAAGAAATTTTAGAGACAAACATAATGAATCAAATATATATAGCTATTCTATGCTCACAACACCTGAGAAAGAAGAAAAAAAAATATATCACAAAAAACACAAGTAGATGTTTTATGTTAATCATTTATACACAAGTTTTTTATTAAATGAATTTGCTTCTTCATCATTATCATTACCAATATGTAATATAGTATGGGCTTCACTTTCAATTTGATTTGAACGAAAATCTTTTAAACGCTCTTTCATTGGTGTTATATAACCATGAATATGAAGAATATTTTCTTGAACTTCATCATCATCGTCACCACTATCAATATCCCATAAACGTTGTGATAATGAACGATTATCCATATGTAATCGAGGATTTAAATATGGATAACGATAAGATGAAGATAAAATTGATTGTCCTAAATGATCACCTGGATATGTTGATATTGTTCGATAATGATCAATGGAGAAATCTTCTGGTTGTATTTCCGATGAATAATAAAATGGAGTTATCGGAGGAGGAAATACATGATAATATGGATGTCGAATATATTGATGATCAATATTTGAATAAATACGACGTGTTATTGGTACAGATGATGATGATGATTTAACTACTACACGTGTTTTAACAGGTGTTGATGTTTGAGAACGTTGTGAACTACATAAAATTGGTACAATTGTTTCATCATAATGAGGAGGAGTATGTGATGAATAATACATTGGAGATGAAGATGATTGAATATTTGAATTCGATGGATAGAGATGTTCTCTTTTTACAATTGAATTCATCATATCACAAGATTTATTATTTGATGTTAACTACAAAATATAAAAAAGAAATTTTTGAGATTTTATTTCAATAAGTTAATAAATAAATATACTTGATGTTGCGATGGTGTTATAGATGATTTTAGTTGTTCTTGTTGATTTATTCTCTGATTTATCGGTATATTCGTTTCATTTTCATGTATAGTTGATTGATCATGATTATTTAATATTTTTACTGTATTAGAATGTTTATCATAAATTAATTTATGAAATTTTTCAGTTGATATTGCTTTATCTTTATTTAGAACTTTAAATGGTCCTTTAGGTGTTCGTGTAATTGGTAAAAATGTTCCACTAGCAGCTAATTCATAAGATAATTCACTTCCATTTGATAATTTTTTACGTTTTTTTGAACTAGATTGATCTGTAAATTTTTCATCAAGAAGTGAATCATTATCTTTTATACTGTCTACTGATGTGAATTTATTACTAAATATAACTATTTTTGGTATATTAATATCATTCATTGAAGCTTTCGAATAAAAATATACTTGTGGTATAAGAATAAATAATAGGCATATTGTTCCTATTGTAAACATACCAATAACAATAGAGGGATATGCATAATATGGATGAGTAAAATGGTAAATAAATGTCCATATTGTCCATGTTATATCAATTAAAATAAAGGCAAACATATTAAAAAATGCTACTAATTTGTTACGATTATTATTTATTAGTATTAATTCATCTTTTTCATTTTTATCACAATGACAATGACGACATAAAAATAAACATATTGATATTATTGTACATAGAAATAATTCTAATATTATATATGTATATGTCGCATAAAATCGATAATCAACAATACATTGAAATGAACATGGTTTTATTGATGATATTTGTTTTTGAAAATGAAATTTTAATTTACCATATTCATTTATTGTTTGTTGTTGACAAAAACGTGGAATAGTAAAATACCACCAAAGTATACCAATTGGTATTTGTATAGATATAAGTAATAAATAAATTAATAAAGATGTTAATTGTTTTGTACGTTTTGATAATATTCTTGTTGATAACCATTTCATAATATAACGACATAATAATGCTGAATAAATTAAAACATATGAAAATTGTGATAAAAATTCTCTTAAACCACAAAATAATTCATTACCACGTATTAAAAACAAGATAACAATCATATAAATAAAACATACACTAAAACAAAGATATAAATTTGTTAAATTTAAACGACGTATTGAGAAATATAAACATAAAAATGATATAATTATTGTTAATAAAATACCAATTAATGAAAGTATAAATAATGAAAATATCCATTGATAATTAAATTGTAATAATGATAATGTTTGATTATCTATTGTATGAATATTATCATCAATTAAATTTGACGAAAAATAAAAAAATTCTGTTGGTATTATAGGAAAATTGAATGATGATATATTCATGTTTGTTTTATCCATTTATCTAAATAAACAATTTGATTAATTACAATACAAATACTTCACTCGCCTCTTTTTATATATTATCATAACATAAGAAATATTACATATTCATTTAGGATTGTTGTTACCTTTCTCTCGTCATAATGCTTGACTAGTCTAACAGCGACACATAGAAAAATGACTATAAAGAAAATAACAAGATGTCTCTTTATCCGACCATCGAAGGTCTTCTACTCATGTTTATGTATATATATATATATATATATATGTGTGTGTGTGTTATTTAACGACATTGTTGTTACTGTTACTGTCACTGTCATCGTCAAATGGAACTAAAAGAATCGATAACAGTTTATGTAAATATATGTTTTCTTACTGTTATTGCATAGTTATATTTGTCTTTTCTGTCTACTTAATGATTTTCCCTCAAACGAGAAAAGAAAACAAACTAACCTAATTTAAAAATTTAGTTAAGACCGAAAATATTATTTCATTTACGTATTTTTTTGAAATATATTTGAATCATGTAAATGAAAATTGAGATTGTATTTAATACAATTCATTTTGTTAGGATTGGTATTTTACCGCCTCATTTTTTCTTTCGCATGAAATCAACTTTTTTTTTTCTTCTCGTTATTTCGCATATGATTCAAGGTAGATTTCATTAAATCAATTACTATTACTTCATATGAATACACATATATTTATTAGCGTCTATTGGACATATCATGATTTATTTGACAATATATTGCGTGCATAAATATATGTACTTATTGAGAAAATATATTCTCTTAACATAGTTATATGGTGAGAAAAATGAGTCAATCTTGTTGACTTTTATTTGTGTGGGAATATAATCAAGGTGATATGTTGATGCACATTAACATATAAACTGTATATTAGACGACAAGTGTCACAATAGAAGACCTTTTTGTTTTAATATAATTGACTTTATTTGTCCTTGGGAGATAGACGAATAGGCATTTGAAAATAATGTGAGATCGAGTCAAATGAGATAGTATGGATAAAGATAGATCACTTTGCTTAAGTGATCTAGCTCAATAGAATTTTAAAGAAAAAGAACGACAAGTTCTCATTCATATAGCATGTCAAAGATGTTATTACGTAAAATAAAGTTGACAGTTTTTTTTTCTTTTGTTTAACAGTCATAAATACATATAATGTCTGAGATTAATCTTATTTGGATACATTTTTAAACTTACCTATGTCTTGTCAATGCATTCTTTCGATAACTTAAACAACCCTCATTTGTCTTTTTTTGTCTCGATAATAAAAATATGACAAATCTAAAAGATGACCTACTCACTAAAACTACACATCGTTCTTATGATTATAAATGTATTGATCTTTTCATTCGTCCATACATACGCACACCATTAGCATAATCTTATTTTAAACTAGATACAATATGGACATATGTACAAGTATATGTCTTCACATGTCACGGTCATAATTCACTCATAAAAAAATTGCAATCAATTTCCGATCGATTCTCTTATGTTGACTACTCATATATGATAAATATGACAAAGAAATCGTTTTGATAGATGACTCTATTCTTTATTTTTCTATAAACGTATCAATGGATTATAACAATACGTCTATGAATAAAAGACAATAAGACACGTACGTACAACTTCACAGTATCGTTACATAATAAATTAAATGTGAAATTGCATATATTATAAGTCTCAAAAAAAAAAAAAAGAAAAAAAGCTCCAAAATTAAATATAAAAATTAAATTTTTTCTTTTCTATTCATCTAACGAATATGACTTGTCCAATTGATTTAAAAACAAAAAGAATAATCTTTTAACAAAAAAAAAGAAAAGTATCATTAATAGGTGTGAAGTCATACCTTATAGGGATAAATCTCCTTGACTGGATTTGCTCGAATGAATACTAAAGAAGTCAATAGACGAACAGACAGATATTTAAATATGTACATCGTGCATATATAAAAATGTGTGTAACAGTCATCATCATCATTCACAGATAATGATAAGAAGAAGAAGAAGAGTGGAGAGAAAGAGAAAGACAGAAAAAAGAGAACGAAAACGGCGAGAAGTAAAGAGCGGAAAGAATGTGAATGTATTCATTCTTTTTTTGCATGGAGCCTATAGTTTTTGTGGTTTATTTGAAAAGAAGCGAAAAAAAGAAGTCGAGGAAATAAGCAAGAAAAAAAAACTAAGCCTATTTGTTGACAGTCAAGATATCAAAAGAAATAGTATAAATAAATGTTTGTATGTTAATCAAGTCAGATAGAAAAGCGAGAAAAAAAAAGAAAACTATAAGTAGGATTCTATTTGCAAAGCTATTCCGGGAAACAATGACATAAAATAGAAGAGTAAAAACATAAAAAGACAATGACAAGAATTAAGCGACACATACATACATTCTCATAGTACTATCTATTATTAAACACAAGGCTATTGATAGGACATGTGAAAGTTGAAAGATATTTTTTTCTCTATTGATTGTCGATTGACATGAATCAAGGTTTGAATAAAAGTAAACAGCTTGTAAATAAGAGATGACAATCATTTCTTGTATGATAAAAACAAATAAATAAGAAAATTTACACAGACTAAAAGTAAGAGAAAGGGTGTGATGCAGAAAATTCATTTTAATTTATTAGATAAGGGAATAAGAGCGGTGAAATTTCTTTTATCAAATCACATATTACTTACATATAAGAATATATATATACAATACGAATCAATAAGTCTATTGTTTTTTTTCTCTATTGAAAGACAAGAAAAAAGGTTAAATCGATTTATCACCTTTTTTTTTTCTGTGTTCATACCTTCAAACAAAATGGCATGAAACATCGTTTAAGATTTATTCACTATAACATATGTTATGAGAAAATTCAATTTACTTTGTTATTCAAACAAAAGAATAGATCATATTAATTAGATATTTTATGTATACACAAGACTATAATGTACATATTGTAGATCAATCATTTTTAACTATAAAAGAAAATTTTAATAAGTAGCAAGATTAGTATCATTCAGGATGTCTATGCAACCAGTACTATTTTTTTTTCCATAGTAAAATAAACGATGAGAGTCGTTTTGAATTGATGTATTTATTTACTCACGCATGACTTACTCTATCGAACAATCAATTAATCAGAATGAGTTTGTTTTATATGCATGATCATGTCGCAGAAAAGTTATCATTATTGTCTAGCGTAGAACAGTGTCACATCATAACGAAATAAAATTCAAATCATCGTTGCATGTCAACTAGCTATGCAATACAAATAATTTGATTGGCTATCATAGAAAAAGTGGATCATATACATCAAATTCATTTATATCGAATATAAGTGAAGTGAAAGAAATAATTTCACTTGATAATCTTTTTTCATTACGAAAGAAAAAAAGAACCAAAAATGTATACACTAATATAACACTTGAAAATGTGTACATAGACACAATAGTGTGTTGTCGGAGATTCTTTCTTTCTTTTTATTTATTTTTTGTTAACATAGAAATTCTATCATACAATAAAACATATACACACACACACATACACAAACAAACAAAGATTTGACTTGGTTTTCTATTTGATGTCTTCATGAGGTTTTTTTGTTAATATTGAACTTGAACTTGTTATTGTTTGTTGATTTTCATTTAAATCAACTAGATCATTATCATTTGGATTTATTAAGGACTTTGCTCGTTTAACTGTTGACATTGGCTTAAGAAATAAATCAGAACTTAAACGACGTTTTGATAATAATTGATCACCAGTTAATTGTGGATTTATTGATAATGCTGAAGAATTATTTTGTTCATATGCATTTATTAATTGAAGTTCTTGTTCAACAAAAAATTTTTCTAAATAATCACTAAAAGACAACGATATTCTATTTATGAAAATAATAAATAAACAAGATAACTTACGTAACATAAGGATGTAAATGAAATCGACGTTTTTCAACACGATTTTGTCGAACAAATACATCATGGCGAGCTGATTTTTTCCAAATATAATAAAAAAAAACCAGCTCATACATAGTACGATTTGGAATCTAAATTTATATAAATAAATATTTATCTTTGTTTAAACAAAAAAAAAAAAGGTTTCGTAACGTAGATCTTTTGGGATTAAAATATAGAATTCATATGTGCTCTTTAGCCTTATTATACTAATACAAAATGCATTAAGTAAAAAATCTCTAGAGGACTAGAGTTCTTTTCTAAGAATAATTGATTGAAACAGACATTATCTATTACATTTCGAATAGAATTTCTTTTTTCTTTGCGCTATTTTTAATTTTCCTATTCCTTTTTTTTTTCTTATTTAACACAATTATTATTTTAATCATTGGTTTCACGGGCAAATAAGGCTGTTATACATATCCATTAGATCCGTAGTAGGTTTTCAACATACTATTATTTATCTCAACAATCTTAGAAGCACTAATATTGATTATTTCTTACGATTATAACATGATCAGTTCACGCTTTTTATGTTTATCATATGATGACTATGACAAATCAACGCATCACTAGCCTATCATCCGTGACATCTTGAATATAAATTTTTATCTGTTCAAAAATCAACAACTGCACTATTTCAAACACTCACAAGCGTATCACAGCCATTCAAATTTTGAGGAAGGCTTCGAAATGTTCTAGAACGGTTTAAGTCTTGTTGTTTGTGCTATTCAATACCGTTTTTTTTTGCTAAGAAACTTCAAGAAAGAAATTTGATACCTATTGTACTCGGCTCCTATGGAAATGTACTCGATGATCATTAAGCTTTTTCTCCTTTTATTATGGGAACAGGGGCTGTGACGGTACTAGCCGTCATTTTTGTTCTCTCTTTCTTTTTGTTGTGTGTTCATCTGTTTATACTTGTGACTTCTTTGTTCTCTGTGTTCATTTCATTTTGTTTTGATCATTATTTATCGTTTTCTCGTTAGTTACAATAATTTACTCTTCAATGCACATTCATCTTTGTCACCAATACTTATCTCATTAACCCTTTCTTGATCGTACACATCATTACTTCACTATTAAACTTCTTGACTGTTACCTTCAGTCAACCACTCCTTTGTCTACTCGTATTGTTCGCTTTATCTCTCTTCTCTTGATAATTATCATTTTCTTTTGTTGTATATCATTGATGAATTATCAGTCATCTTTCAATCAATTTATCATCATTATATCGTTTGTTATCAGGATTTGAATCTTATTGCACTTCAGTACGAAGCTGCGAAAATTCGACTTAAAACTTACACTCATTATATTTTTCTTCGAAAAATAGAATGTGAATTTCACAAGAATAAAACAATAATTTACCTTAAACATTGAAAAATCTTTGCCATATTCTTTAAAACATTGTTCGAATTGATCACATTCGGTTAATGACCATGTTGCTGATGAAACTAAAAGAAGAAAATATTCGATAAATGAAATATTTTTTGTTTTTTCTAAATATAATACAATAATTTTTATTCGTTGTTGGTAAACGAAGTTTATCTAAAGCTTGATCAATATTATAATTTGTTGATAGAAATACTTCAAGTACAATTTCTTCATCAGCTGTTCGATCTATTATAACACAATATGAAAAAGAAAATTTCTTTTTTTTTTTTCTTAATTTAAATAAACATACGTTCTTTAGCAGCTAATTTTAAATATTTATTAACTAAGGAAGAATTTTCATCTTGATTTGTATCCAATAGTGGACACCAAAGTAATTGATCGTTAGGTAATTCTAGAAAAATTTGAAAAAAATTGTTAAAGACTTTTTTTTTAATTAAATATTTATCTTCAACCTTGATCATTGTGGTCGGTTGATATAAGTAAATCAGGAATAACAGCTTGATATTGATCACCAATATTAATAGCCTAGAAAATTATAAATATATAGAATTCAGTGAAATACAAAGAAAACAGAACCATTGTTATTAGCACTTTGAATAATTTATTCTAAGAATGACTAGGAATGAAAATATAGAATTATATTATTATCCTACAGATGAATAGAATATCTCGTGCACTGCTGCTGCAATGAAATTTCAACAAAATGTTTCAAATTTTACTGATGTAACTGTAATGAATCAGAACTATTTTTATTAATATATGAGATTCATCGAATCGGTGAGTATTACATTCGTTGATATAGAAATTTCGTGCAATTTTGCAATGTCTTTCAAAAACAAATAGAGTCATCGTCATTGTTGCGATGGACATCTCAAGCTTAAAATTTTTGAGCGAATTTTTCCCGGATAAAATATCAAACAAAACGAAAACAGACGTTTATTAACTGAATTAATTCTAATAAAAAGAATCTAAGAATTTTTCATTTCATATGGATCAAGAAATGATTTTTGTATGTGAAGACACGTATACTGTATATTTCTGAAAGTAGCACACACATGCTATTTTTTCTTTGTAAGTTATTAGTCTATAAGTAATTTTAAACACTCAATACATCATTATAAGACTGTCTATTAGTTTTTCATTGAACTGAAACTCAGAATTGCACTATTAATAGTACATTTCTTTAATAAAAAAAGGAACTCTGCACAATGGAACTCCACAATTATTGTAGTCATTCAAAAAAATTTTTTTTATCATAGTAACTACAATTTGAATAAGTTCGGGCAATTTTAATGCTTGAAAAAAATTGGCATCAGAAATAAGACGAACTAATAATTAAACAGAAAGACCAAGATGCATAAGTAGGTACTTCAGCTTGTTGAAGACTGTCATTTATTAATATAGACTTTCACGATTAAAATGCCCGCTGATTAATGTCAAAGAGTCAGATAGGTTACTATTTTTAGTTATACTTTTTCACTTTAATAACACTTGTGTAATTTAATCCAAGTAATAGTGCATAGAGCTCTGTGTGTGAATGAAGCAGTGTCATTGAACCCAATCAATGCTCTGTTTTTATTTATTGTTTAAATGAAATTTGCAAAACGTTCGTGAAGACTTCTGATTGTTATTAATAGGAAGATGCAAAACCTGTTTAAGAAATTTTCCTTTAGAAAGAAAAGAAATAAAGTTTATGTCCATCTCGCTGATCATGTCGGGCAGTCAATTTCGAGACTTATTAGACAGTGTAAAAAACTTTCGACAATATTTAATTATTGCAAACATCTTCTTTCTCGTATTACAAGAAAAAAAAAAGTCTAACGAATTCTACTGGGTAAATGTCAATTGTCAGATTGTTTTTTCTTTTGTGTACATACTTTTTGCCAATAAAATGTAAATGATGAATCATCAATATCTTCTTCATCACCGTTTTCATCTAAAATAATGAAAAAAAGAAAATTTTATATTGAATAAAGTTGTTGATCTTAATTTTCTACTTACTTGAAGTTGGATGTTCAGCGATTAATAAACGTTGATAACCACTATCTTCTTGATCTGTTGAATCTTCACTAGATGTATTAATTTCTTCTTGTTTTGATGTCGGTATATTTACTATATTAGATGAACTCGTATATAATTTCCTTAAATCTTCAATTGGCATTTCACTTTCCTAAATATTAATAATAATAAACTTGACATTATTTTTTCATTATTGAATATCTATTCTTACAACGGTTAATTTGACTATTTCTGTTTGATGAAGTTCACTGGTGACAGATGTTTGTTGTTCTTCTTTTATTACTTCTACTTTTATTTTATTCAACGTCTGTTCTTCATCATTATTTTCTATTTTTGGTTCTTTCAATGATTCTTCCGATTCATTTTGTATTTCAGCCATTTATAAACTTTTTCTAAATAATCTAAGATAAATATATACGATTTAATTATACACTGAAATATTCTTGAATAAAAAACTTTTATTTTGTAAGTTGAAAAACAAAAACAACAAAAAGAAGTACAACGCGAGAATGTTTTCATTACAATAAAATGTGCTTTTACAAAAACTAAATAATACATGGAAAATAATGAGAATGAATCGTATTGAATGGCATGAATAAACGCTTATATATATATATATGATACGGAAGCATAAAATTATTTCGTTTATTATATTAGTTAATTTTTAGTATGCTGATGATTGAGAAGCAAGATCTGGTCGAACGAATTTTTTAAATGAACCAATCATATAGCGAAACTAAATAGGAAAAAAATTATGCATAAATCTATCGATTCTAATAAATTAAATTATCTTACAGCAATAAAAGCAACAGCCGTTCCTAGAATGGCACCACCAAGAACATCTGTAGGATGATGACGATTGTCTGTAATACGTGTAATACCTTAAGAGAAAAACAAAAACTTCATAAATAGCTCGAAAGAAAATATAATTAAGTAAATATATACCGATATAGGAAGCTAAAGCAAAACAACCCATTTCCATAAGATATGGAAATAGACCAAAATTACGATAATTCCAAACTTTATGAATATAAAACTAAAGATATATAAAAATAAATGATTAAATATTCTTAAATAAAAAATAAAAAGATAAGATTATTTACAGCCAAAAAGATTAAACCGCAGAAAGCTGTTGATGCATGACCAGATGGAAATGATTGACTATAAAAGAAGATAATGGTTTTTGTTTTTGTATGGATGAAAGACATTCTTACTTAAATATGAACTATTAACTTTAACATTACTTTTTAAACAAAAATAATTCATTTTAGTTTACTAAATATTCAATTCTTCATCTATTATTTAGCATCTAAACTTTTAGTGAAATGAATCGTTTTAGTTTTTTTTTCGATTATCTATGAAGATTGTATCAGAGATGGGATTGGCCTATTTTTTTAAAATTTCCAGCCGAATCAATCCTATCTTTGAATTGTACTTCAATATTGCCTATTCAATTGACTAAATTATGTTAATGTGTTTATATCGACGTTAAGTCTACACGATTCCATTTGTCGTTCTTTTCATTATAACAAATGATCACTTACTATTTTAAATATTTAAGGATTTTGTCTCTATATATTTGAGTACGTAACTTAAGATTTTACTAATAAGTTTGTTTTTGGGATAGAAGAAAACTTCTTTATTTTTAGATCTATTTTCTCTATTAATCTTTGACTTAAGATTTTTTTCTCTTTAACTAGTGTGTATTCATGGTGCCATTGAAGAATTATAATCTTTTCTATATCTAAGAACATTTAACAGACTTATGGAGATGCTCATCAATAATGGCTATAATGATCGATGGAGTTCTCATACGTCATTTTGGTTCATCAAAAGATGAGGATGTTCAATGTAGATATGATAAATAAGTAGCAAAAAAAGCATAAACATCATTTTATTATCTTCAACTGTCATGAAAGTCTATATTTGAATGCATGCAACATTTTGATATAATGTCGTGACTTAGCGTTGTGAAGATATTGATTTACTAAATCATGTAGATTGTTTTTTATCATATCAAATTATATACAGTTACACTAGTGGACTTAAACAGAAAAAAAGTCAATAAAATGAAAGATCAAAGTTTCATTGAATAAAGTTGTAGCAACTGTTGAGTTTCAGATCAATACTCCATATAAAATTTCAAAATGAGTCGTTTTCAATTTCAAATGAAGACAACAAAAGTGAATCATATTTTATTAATGATCAATTATTTTCATTTTGTTTTATATATTTTAAATAAAGTTTAAAAGACATGAATATCTTTCAACTATAAATCTCATATTAACTTCGCTCTTATCCTTTATTACTAAAAAAACAAATGATTTATATTGTCAACTTTATTTTTTGTATTATGTTCAACATACCGAATATCATAAGCACCATCTTTTTCTTTAAAAACACTACTTGATTCTGCGAAACAATTATAATCAACAATCCATTCATTTGGATCACGACAAAATTCTTTATAAGAAGTTTTGTGAAAACATGATGGAATAAAATGTGGTCGTAATCGACCAACAGCTACTTTGCCAATATTAGTTAAAAATGCATTAGCACAATTAGCAAAAAGAAAAACACCTAAATAAAGAAAACAATATTTCATTTAAATTTATANGTTAGAAAGGGGTTGCCCTTGGCAAGATGAGAACCTATGGAAAACTAAGGTTTTTCATAAAAAACCATGAAAACCGCCTTAGAGAATTTTTTCCTCGAACACGTGTCTCATCATTTTAGGTGTTCTATTTGTGGTAAAAATTTCATTTCGATCGGCCTTACCATCTTCGAGATCTAGAAATGGTCAAAAAAGAGGGGGGGGGGGTACCCTTAAGAATGATACTTATGGTAGCGTAAAACTTGTATCAAATGTCAGATTGTAGACAGATATGGTTAAAATGTTTTCGTGTGTGTTATATTTCAATATGATGAATATCGTTTTCTTATGAAAAGCTGAACGGATTCCATTTATATTTCAGTCTAGAAGTTGACAGATTTAAATATACATAATTTGAAATAAAATGGTAGAAAAACTTCAGGCTACATAACTTAATTCATTCATTCCAATATCAGTAACTTTTGTACAATGTAAAAAATTCGAATTAAATATTTTAATAATTCTCATAAATAAACTTTATTTCGAATTATCAGATTGTAACATAAAGTTGATATCAATCATAATTTGTAGAGTTTTTTTTTTTTGTTAACAAGAATTTTAATTTAAGGAACGTCGTATTGTTATGGATCAATTACGTACTCTTGAATTTGTACAATTACAAGCATTTGCACGTGTACTTCAACAACAAAATAAAAAGTATTTTGATTTTGTTTTTCCTAACTTTTTGTTTGAAAAATTTGATTTTTATATTATAGATCTCAATCAACAATTGATAAATTACAACAAAAAAATACTCGTATATCAGCTGCTCAATTACTTGCTGAATCAATTAAAGTGAAAATATTATTTAGAATTTATTTTTATAAAGAATTTTTATTTAGAAACAAACTCTTGATAAAATAACATTTGCTTTAATTATGGATCGTATATTAGGCAAAGTTGATAATCAATTATTATGTTTACGTGATCAATGTTATATGTCAGCTGTTAGTAATGTACAATCGTTAGTACAAAAAGATATAGGAACAACAATGATGACAAAAATTGAGCAAGAACTATCTCGTTTACGTAATAAAGTTAATCATTTAACATTAAGTACGATAAAAATTTTCTTTCGAATCAATTTTCATTATTATTGTTTTCTAGCTAATGAAAAATATAGTCAATTAATAACTCGATTATTACAGTAAGTATAGTTAGAAAAAAAAAATATGATACATAATAAAATCGTTTTTGCTTTTAATAGAGATATTCAACATATTCATGACGTATCAAAACATGATGTAAAAGAAGCACACAATATGCGTTTATTTATTCAATCATTACATGATGCTACTTATCAACATCGGTTTGAGTATGTTTTATTCAGATTTTTTTCCCGAAGTACAGATACATTGTATATATGATAGAATAAAGACAAGCTTTGAAAAGGCAAACCCGATTTTCTCAAGAGTGTTGATCATTCGATAGATTTCGATTCAGTTATACCGGCATGAGTTGTTCTTCATTTTCCGAAACTAAATCAACTCCTCAATTATTCATATCTGTGTTCTATATCACTACAGTAATGACATAGAATTTCTAAACTTTTAGTGCATATTACTATTTATTTTCGTACGCTTTTTGTCTATTGCTGAATTGAAAACTTCATAGAAACAAAAACTTTATATCAGCTTACACATTTATTAACGATTTGTGAGACAGAAGTTATTTATTAATTGTATACTTAGTCTGCTTTCTACATTATCAGGATTCTCACTCCGAAAATAGCCGATTTTTTACAGCTACATCCTAACTTCAAACAAAACTAGTTTTTGAAATGTCGCTGCGAAGTGAATAGCATAGAAGAAGACACCGATGTACAGTAGATTTTGATCTTTCTTCCTGCCTCTAATTCTAAGAAATATCGACTACTCTTCATATTATATTTGTTTTGTTAATTTTTATATCTGTACGAAAACTATCCTATAAGGAGTAGAAGATATATAACTTAAATCTATGATAAACTACAATATTAAACATTTTTTTTAAATTGTTTTTGTTGACATAACTTGATATAAAAATCGATGGGTAAAATACGATAAGTATATCATGATGAACTTCGGCGTTAGAAAAAAAACTATTTTCTATGCTTAAAAATATGATTTATATAAATCTGTTTCATTTAATCATTGTTCTAGTCGAAGTGAATGTAAAATAATAAAACGATCAATAAATCAATTAGAATTGGGATTTTTTGATAATCTTGTTCGCATTCAACTCGATGGAAAAACAATTGGTCGTATTACAACTTGGACAAAAATAACCGATAAAAATGATGATAATATTGAATGTAAAATTATGTATTCTACTGATGGTAAACTGATTGAAAAAAAACTGACAAAAGCCTTTATTTGTTTATTTTATTAATAGAAAATTTAAACCAAAGTCAACAATTAGCTTATGAATTACTTAAAAATGAAATCAATATCTATTGGAATCGTCCATTAACAAGTACAATATCTATGTCATATCTTATAGACTTTATACGAAAATTAATTGAATATTCACTTATTGCAAATAATTTATCCAGAACATTAATTGTTTGTCTTGAAACTTTACCATGTAAATTAATTGATAATAAGTACGTATAAAATGTTATTAATTCTATACTTCCTGAAATTAATTCGATTGATTTCGTATAACATGAAATATAGAAATAGCTTATGCAGATGTTGATTATGATACTGACATAGTTAAATTTCGAAGAAGTCATTTCAATATAGAGTTGTAGAATAAGCCATAAATGGCCTATTCGTAAACATAAGCAGAACGAGTCGTTTTGATCCTGGTGTAAGGGAAATCATTTCGCTTATATAAACTCATTCGTCTTGAATGATATAAAAATTGAGTTTATTGTTAATTTGATTTTTGTCGTAGTTGTTATAATGCTATTGTATCTCTACAAAGCTTAATTTTTGAAAAACGAGTCATTTTGGGAAATAGCATATGATTAAATAATTACACAAGCGGCTGTTTTTGCTATAACAAAAGTTGCAGATTTCTATAGTTTATAGATCAGAAGTTATTTAAAAACGATCGTGGATTGATTTTTGAGAGAAAACTATTTTTCATGTTACTCAGTACGAATGGTTCAAGTTGTGAATAAATTTAAAAGAAATATCGTTTTTCAAACTTATCAATCTTAGCCAAGGAATGATGAAAAGAAGTCTAATGTTTTTTTTGCGAATTTATAGTTTATTTGAAGTTTTACGCAAGATTTGGGAACCACCTCGATCTGATTCTTTATTATTCGAAATAGATAGTTTCTCTGAATGAATTAACAATAACCCAACAGAATACTTATTAATTTTTTTTTTTGTATAAAGATTTACTATTGATTGGTCAACACCACAAATACGTCTTGATATTGAATGGGAACTTGATGAACGAATATTTCGTGATTGTCCATTGAAATCATCTTATTGTTGTCAGCCACAACATAATGAATTGTATATATATTTGATTAATTTTTATTTGATATAAATTATTTTTTTAATTATTTCATAGATGTAATGAACTTCAAACTCTTCTTGATCGTATGAAACCAATCAATGGTTCAATTGCTAGTTTATATGAACAAGTTGAAAAACATATTCGACCATGGATTAAACTTCTTGATGAAATTCAAAATGATAATATAAATAAACCTCAAGCTAATATATCATTACAAAAATTAAAACAATCATTAGAAAAATTACTACTTGAACATAATTAATTGTGAATAGAATTTTTGCAAATAGAAATTAAAAAAAAATAACAATGTTTATCGATATAGTTAAATAAAATATTCTTGTATATGTATTGTTTGCAGAAATAAATTTATCAAAAGAAAAGTTATTACATTATTATTGATTTTGTTTCGAGAATGTTGGTGTAGTTTTCTTCTTATTCAAGTTTAGTTTCTAATAAGACACAATATGAAAGATTCTCTTGGTTTTTGAAATTAATATTGAAAAAGTACATTTTATCAACGAGTTTTTGATAAATTTTACTTTCATGCTTTGTGATGCTTGTTACTTTATAAAAGAAGAGAGTAAAGACGCAGTGATTTCGCATATTGTTCCGAATTTTATGTTCTGGGTACAGAAAACTTTCTAACATAACCCAATTATGAAACCTTGATATAGAGTGCATTCCATGGAGAAATTTATTGACTACACAAATCACTATTTGAATTCGAATTAGGTTATCAGCATTAGGTAAAGTTAACAATTCCCTTGTTTTTATAATTGTAAACAGTACAGGCATGCCATCAATGTAATATCCTTAATAAAGTTTGTTTTGATTATTTTTTGTTATTGTGTTAGATGAGAATGAAATATTATCGATTGATTATCTTCACATGTATTTTTCTTACTTGAAAACAAATTATATTTGTTTAGTGAATTCAATAATGATACTTCAAAGTATTGTTTTGTTAATGTTATCTTTATGAGAAAAAGTCGTCCAATAGGTTTTTATCATTAATGGATTTTATTGAACTGAAGTGATATATCCATTTTGTTTTTTGTATGATTATTTATGGCCAACTCGATAAAACATTAATTGATCCTCACCACTCTTATTTCAGATTGAAGAACTATCGTAAATATGCCCTTGGCGTATTAATTCTCTCTTGTTTTACTGATTATTCCCCTACAAAGCAATTATTTATTATTTGAATATCCTTGCAAACTTATTTTACATATCATATATGAGAAAATCTGATTAAAATTTCGATTTGTTTGAAATATATTTCAAATGAATCAAATCAAATTTTATACAAATTTCTAGAGACTTTTTTGATTTTTAAATCTTTTGACAAACAAGAAAACCGATGTCAATCATGTGAAGAAAATTTGATAATACTAATAGTAGAATTCTCTTTTTTATGTCACTTGCTATGAATTTTATTCTCATTTACTTTCCACATTTAACTACTACTTATTTTACCATTTCCTTTGGAGTATCTATCATGAATACTAAAGGAAAAAACTCTTGATCAAAATTAGTATGCAGAAAAAAAAATAGTTATTGAACATGTTCTTCGTATAAAACTCATTTCCTGAAATATAATAATGACATCAATTTGATTATCTCTCTCACACATTATTATTTTGGCCAGTAGTTCTATATTTCTCTTGGATAAAAGTCAATAAGACAACATAGTCTAGAGAAAGTACTCGAATGAATATATATATATATATATATGTAAAGAAGAGAAAAAACGAAGATTTTTTAATGACTTCGTGAGTACATTGAATATTATTAAAAAGAACAGGATGCATTATATCAGAAGCTCTTCATTAAATTGTCACTCATCTTTTCTCTTGCCAATTTTCTTTTCATGTCAAAGATGTCAATAACAACGAGAAACAATACTAAAAGGTACAGCCTATATTGTGGAAGAATGCATGAATTTAATCTTGGAAAAGCATGTTATTGTACTTCATATATTGTCGCTTTTAGTACTTAAGAGCATTATTTCATAATGAATATTACCGTTTTGAAAGGATGTTGTATAAACTACATAGATAATAACTTGTTTTAATAAGATACAAACATGTTATATTTGTTATAAATGATTAAAGATGATAATGCGTACTGAAATAATATAGTTCCGATGATTAAATGTAATGTTTATTGATTAACATTAAAAATTATTTTAGTTGACCTATATTTAACAAGACAAATGGAATCACTTGGATATGCTATTATTATTTTTTCTATTATTAATACATGTTTATAAATAAGATTAAGCTCTTAAATATAAAAAATAACAAGAGACTAAATGATTCAATTATATTGATCTAAATTCTCGTTATTTTCTTGTAAGAAATAAGGACAAACACAACAGTAGATTATCAATGAAAGATGCTTATTTATAGCGGCAAATAAATATAATCAAAAAGGAATTTCGATTTTCAAATATTATGTCAATAAAAATAGTCCAATAATGTATATGGTCGTCTTATTATTTTTTTCATTTAGTTATTTTCTCTTATCAAGAATACTTGATATATCATTGAGTTGATCAAGCAAAGGTTCTCAATCTGTTGATGACATTATTGAAATATTGAAAAAAAAAGAATCTAATCTTTGTAACTTAGAAAAAAAAATATAGCTTATTCTTATCAATCAGCTGAGTTCTATACAGTTTTATCACAATAAATTTGTTGCCAATTTTCGAGTATAAAATTTTAATGACTACGGAAAAAAATTTTTTTTCCTAAGAAAAACCAAATCACAGTGAACAAATGTTATATATTTTTTTGAACAATAGCACACCAATTTCCATGGTCATAATAAGATTTGATTATTTTTGATCCGACTATAGTTTTTGATGCTTCTTCAATAAGCATTTCAAGTTCGCCATGTTTACATACGTGATAATAACGTTTATTATATGGATTTATATTACTTTGTTCATTATCATATGAACTCATTGGAAATGGTCGAATACGAAATGTTAATCGATCTTGATGAGATAATTTTGGTGTGGACGGAGTTGATGATGTTTGCTTTACAAATCGTTGAAATAAATTTTGTATTGATTCAATCATTGAAAATGTTGTTGCTTGATTATTAACTTGTTCCATGCGGCGTAAAAAATTTGCTTCCATGTCAAGTGATGATGACCAAGAGTTTTTATCAAGAATAATATCTAATAGAAAAAAAACAAGTAATTGAAAAAAAAATCATCGTACGAAATTATCATACCTGATCGTGCTTGATGATCAATACATGGAACTAGAACATCTTGACTACAAAACTAATTAAAAAAAAATAGTTTAACATTTTTTTTCTTCCTCTTCCTCTACTTCTATAAATTTACGTTTCGTTGTTTTTGTTCCATTGCCCAAGTGTAAATTAATAATTGACCGCCGTTAGGTTTCAAAATACGAAGGCATTCTAAAACAGACTTTATTAATAAAAGCAAAAGAATAATCTCATAAAATAAATAAAATTAAACCTTGAATAGCTTTGACACGTCGTTGATGTGTAGCGAAATGATGTATAACACCAATTGATAGGACAGCATCAAATAAATTGTCTCGATATGGTAAATGAAGGTTGTCAGCTATAATAATTGGTATATGAGAATATTTATCTCGAGCTATTTCACATAATTGAGTACTACGATCACAACCAATAGTAAACAAATCTGATTTAAGTTTAATATATTTTCCGGTTCCACAACCTTATTTATTAAAATCAGAAATTGAACATAAAAAAAAAGAAATGATTATTTTTAGCATACCAATATCAGCTACTAAAGCATTTTTATTTTGTGATGATATTCGATTAAGAAATTTTCGAACATTAGGCCATGCTGTTGTATCTTGTGTTAATGTTGTTGAATCGAGTCGATTGTAAACATCATGTCTAAATAAAAAACAAAGAATAGGAATTAAGACAGATATGAAAGGAAAAAATCCAGGTCTTATTTACACATAAATTTGTTCTAAAACGTCTGGTTGTGACTTGTTTTGGTCGTTCATGCCTGTTATTATTGGTCTATGAAGAGGAATGAATAAATTTCATCTAGTTGACAGAATAATTATGTAATGCATCAGCCAGAAGGCAACTTAGATGACGTGTGTCAAGATATGGATGAAAAAAGAATAAAAAAGAATAGACTGAAATGAGAAAAAAAAACATGCACATCAGAAATCCATCTGTCGAGGGGTGAATGTATTTTATGCTTTAAAATTTAAATTAGATATGTCAGAAACATAGTAGAATAGAAAATCATTATCAAACTATATATTATCAACTTTTCTATGTAACAGTATATTTTAATTAAAGACGAACAAAATGTTTTTTTTCCTTTTGCAAGGATTTATACACCACTGGAGAAGCAAATAATAATCATGAAGAATAATGCACGAAACAAGAATAAGAATAAACTAGAAAGAACAAAAAGGAAAAAGACAACTAAAAAAAAAAGAACTGAGCGTAATGTTGGTGATTGTGTGGCAGATGATGATGATGATAATGATGTTGGAGGTCGAGTGAGTGCATGAAAGAATCATGATGAAGAAAAAAAATATCTACATATATATATACAAGAGAGTCAAAAAAGCATAGATTTAGATTGATAGGAATGAGAAATGAGCGATAGATATGAAAAAAAAATAAGAATAAAAGAAAAGCACATTACCCATGAGAATCGTATCTATTAGAAAAAAAAATAAAGAATAAGTTAGTTATTATAAAAATAAATCCTTCATCCACATCTACATTCATCGTATAAACTATTCATAAAATACCGGAAAAGAGTTCTCTAGAGAATATATGTTAAACAAAAACCTGATCATATTAAATAAATGAAATTTAATAATCCTAGATAGTATCATAAAAAGACTACTTTTCAAGGATTTATATTTTCAATTAATTTCATTAATTAATCTTTAAGATCATTTACTAAAAAAAAATGTTTTTTTTCTTTTTTGTCTATTTTTATATCTTTAATTATGAAATGCATAAAAATTATATATACAACTCAGCATATCTTTATATTGTTAATCAAATACAAAATAATCATTTTTTTAAAATAACATACAACCTAAACTAACTTGACAACTTGATACAAACACGCATATGGAATAATAAATCTTACTCAAATAATGGAAAAGAAAAATAAATATGTCACATCAATCATGAATTTTCATAGAGAATGATGAAGTTTCAATTATTATGTTAACATAGGCATGCTATAAACATTGTGGATCT